CCCTTTGTCTCGTCCGTCCACGTCCATCCACCCCCGTCCGTATCAGGCGGACAGGCGTCCCTTTGTCTCATCCGTCCACCCCCATCTGTAACAGGCGGACAGGCGTCCCTTTGTCTTGTACGTCCACGTCCGTCCGCCCCCGTCTGTATCAGGCGGACAGGTGTCCCTTTGTCTCATCCGTCCACCCCGTCTGTAACAGGTGGACAGGTGTCCCTTTGTCTCATCCGTCCACCCCGTCTGTAACAGGCGGACAGGCGTCCCTTTGTCTCGTCTGTCCATGTCCGTCTGTATCAGGCGGACAGGTGTCCCTTTGTCTCATCTGTCCTCCCCCGTCTGTAACAGGTGGACAGGTGTCCCTTTGTCTCATCTGTCCACCTCCGTCTGTAACAGGTGGACAGGCGTCCCTTTGTCTCGTCTGTCCACCCCCCTTTGTAACAGGTGAACAGGTGTCCCTTTGTCTCATCCGTCCACCCCGTCTGTAACAGGTGGACAGGCGTCCCTTTGTCTCGTCCGTCCACCTCCGTCTGTAACAGGTGGACAGGCGTCCCTTTGTCTCATCCGTTCACCCTGTCTGTAACAGGTGGACAGGTGTCCCTTTGTCTCGTCTGTCCACCCCCGTCTGTAACAGGTGAACAGGTGTCCCTTTGACTTATTGTCTCCAAAAAGCATCAGTCTTGTCTCAATGTTCCTTCACAAACCTGTGAGTGTGAATATAGTGGTGAGGACACAGGACAGGCTTTCCTCTGATGACTCTTCCATGAAGGTCATACCTGTCCAGGTGTGTGTGCACAGTACAACAGCAATGCGTATTTATTTGTTGGTCACAGAAACCAGACAGAGCTCTAACAGGGTGTCCAATGATTTTGGAGCAGACTTTAGTGATGCTAAATAAGCGTGTCCGTTCTTACAGGCTGATGGAATAAAACCAGGAGATGAATAAGAATGTTAGCATGCTCTCGATGAAGGAGTGGTAAAAGGTCAGGAGAATGTCTTTATTCACTCCAAACGATCTCAGCTTCCTGAGCAGACATTGTCTCTGGTGGCACTTCTTAAGGATCTCCTCAGTGTTAGAGGAAAACCTAATAGGCCGTCTGAGACCCTAGTAAAAGCTGTCTGGGAGCTCAGATGTCTTGGGGTACCCAAACTTTTTACATGGTGCTGCTTTTATGTTTTCACTCCAACTTTTTACAGAACAAAAATGAAACACTGATCTTGATTAAAATGTTGAAAAGCATGTTTCATCTTTAACTTCATGTCTGCTGGAGATCAGCTCATCTTCTACTCTCAGTAAACGCACCAGTGGAGCCAGAACTTTTGCTCCACTGTAAGTACAATGTCGACATACTTCTTCTTTACCTGAGTATTTTCATTACATGCTACTTTAAACTTTTATTCCACTACACATTAGCAGGAAATATTATACTTTTTACTCCACATTTATTTGATACCTAGTTAATGGTGACTTTTAGAATACAAACATGTACTTGTGATTTTTGGACTGTAGTATTTTTACCTTTACTTCAGTAAAAAACCTGAGTACTTCTTCAATCACTAACATCATAACAAAAATGTAGGACCTGTCATCATGGATGTATTAAAAAGTCTGGGTTGCTCGGTTGTACACTACTTTTCACGATGCATTGTGGGCAGTAGTGTAGTGGTAGCTGATGAGGTGGATGTACTACTTAGTAGCTGGGTAAGACAGAGGAGGAAGTGGGCATACTCTCCTATATAGTCTAATGGCTTTTTGGCTGATAGGTGGGTAGACTGTAATTGGCCAGAAAAAGATATGGTTATATCCCGTATACCTGAGTATACCCTCCACTACACCACTGATTGTGGGATACTTTGAGTCCACTACATAGGGTATAGTCTGAGTGGGCAGAAGTTCGCTGCATAGATCAGCCTCTCATTGGGCGGAACGAGCCACCCACTGAAGTCCCGCCCTACCACCTCCGGTTGCAGTTTTCAACACATCCTTTACTAACTTTTGCGGTGTTTGATCTTGCAGGGATGTAGCCATTTTTCTGCCATGGTTCGCGTCCTGTAGGTGATATTTTTGTGGGCGTGTTACACCAAAACCTGTTTCCCCCGGCAATATTTTTGCAAGCGCACCGTTGCTGTGGCACCGCCCAGAACGATTGTGATTGGTTGAAAGAAATACAAGCAGCCGGGGTGTTTTTTTCTCCAATCTTAAAGTGAGAGTCGGCCCAGCCAGACCTTTCTTTTCTTGAGAAAGGTCTGGTGAGCGAGACTACATAGGGTATAATAACTCTGACTGTACATTAGGACAGCACTACAAAAGTGCGAACTCACTACGTAGTGGGTATTGTCTGATTTCAGACACAGTGAGACACTAAAGCAGGAAATAACACAAAGGCAGGAGATAAAGGCAAACATGACACATGAGGAGTGAACCTACAAAATAAAACCGGAACAGACCAAACATGAATGAATAACATGAAACAAGGAAACACACAAACAGAGAATTCAAACCCCAGAAAACAAGTCCTCAGGATAACCAACGACAAACCAGGACCATGACATCGCCTTGTGACTCCCCAGGGCAGACACCAAAGGTCTTGACAGGGGCTTTCTCCACCATTTTAACATCATAGAACAGCCTTCCTCCCTGCTGTCATCAGTATCATGTTCATGTCAACAAGAATAGACTGAATAAACACCTACTCAACATGAGACTGCAATCCTAAAACTCAAGGACATCAGTCTTACACAAACCGGCTTCAATCATGCTGCTGAGAAGCCTGCAGGTTAGTGACTGGCCTTCTGAATGGTAATTATGAAGCTCGTATCTGCAAAAGCAAAATAAAAATAAAGAAACTGCAGCATAAATCCAGATGGTAAATGTAAAACAGGACTCATAGTGACCATTCACACATCAGGTAGGAACCACAGTTCAGTTGCACACCTCTTTACTGACCCCTGTAGGACACATGTGTCACTGCAATAACAGACTGAAGTAAGATGAAAAAAAAAACAACAACTTCTGTACACTTTAAAGAAAGACATTCTGCATTAGACTAATATTTACACAGTGAAAAGGAACTCCACTGTGGAACATTAAATCCTTGTTTCTGATCAATCTGCCTCTGAGTGATCTCAGATATGCACCCAGGACATGTTTTATCACCCACACTACAGGTTAAGCCTCTGCAGCACGGTCATTTCCTGCATGTGGTTTATACACAATGTGTGTGGCCCCTCCTGTTGATCTCTTCAGTGTGCAAAAAGACAAAACCAGATGACCTATTTCTTGTTAACTACAGGACAGAAAAACACTCAGTCACAACACTCACATACAAAGAGGAAGGAAAAGCCTTTACCCAGATGTCATATCAGACCGAGTGGTACAATGAGACAGACGCCTTTTCTGCTCTGTAAGTACAATCTGATCTGCCAAAATATAAATAACTGTTCACAGGTGTTGTGAGACTGTATTGACCGCTGCTGGGGAAACTAGTAATAAGAGAGGATGAATAATAGATTAAAAAGCAGCAAATAAAACAGACTGATGTGGTGATCTAACAGTTTAAATTGTTCCGTCACTTTACTGAGATGCAGGAAATAAGAGTATCTACACTGGGTCAGAATATCCGTCAGGTCTTGTGCTTTATGTCAAAGAATTGGTTAAAAGTAAAAACGATTGAACCAGGATTTAAAACATTTCGGAACATAGACAAATTAAATCAGGCAATTTAAGTAAAACATAAAGTATTTGGAAAAAGGAATACAAACCCCAACAATAAAGATAAATGGCAACAATGAAACAGAGAGGCAATGTTGGCAACTAACTGCCCTGAAGATTACGCCGAGGCAAATAAAATCACACAATTAGAATAATACAATAATAAAAGAATAGTATACTCGATGATAATTTAGGATGAATACAATGACAAGAATGATAATAATAATAATACAATTAGAAATGTTGAAAAGAAAACAGTGTGCTTGAATTAATAAAAGGCTATTTTTGAACAGATACATTTTGAGAATAAATTTAAAACATGTCACTGACTCTGCAGCGTCAGATCCTCAGGCAGGGAGCTCCAGAGCTGAAGGACCTCGACTGCAAAAGCCCGGTAACATTTAGTTTTGAGCTGGGACTGAGGAGCAGCCAACAGAGCCCAGCCTGAGGATCTGAGGCTGCGACCTGGCTCATCGGGGAGCAGCATCTCAGTAATGTAGCTGGGGGCTTAAAAGTGAACAAGCTGCTTTAAAAGTCATCAGTAAAATCTTGAAATCAATTCTTAAACTGACTGGTGACCAGTGAAGAGGCAGAAACAGGGTTGATATGGTCATGTTTTCTAGTGTTTGTTTAAAGCTGAGCAGTTGTGTTTTGCACTAGCTGAAGCCGTGAGATGGCTTTTTGGCACCACCCTGAATACAATGAGTTGCAGTAGTCTAAATGGAAAGAAATAAAGGCATGGATGACCTTCTCAAGATTGTGCTGAAAGATAAAGGACCTGTCTTTTGAGATGCTCCTTAATTTATAGAAGCAGGAGTGGACAAAATTTGTAAATTGTTTTTCGAAAGAGGTCTCCAATATCACACCAAGGTTTCTGGCTGCAGGTTTGACATTTGCAGGCAAGAAACCAAGATGGTCTTGTAAAACTGGGACTTTGGTGGACCAAAGAGAATTATTATTTCTGATTTGTTTTTGCGTGGCTGGAGAAGATTTTGGGACATCAAGCATTTTATATGTGACAGACAGGACAGAAGGTGACTTACATTGCCTTCTTCACCAGTATTTAATGGGACATAAATTTGTGTATCATCCACAAAGCAATGGTCCTGGATTTTGTGTTTGCTTGTGATATGTCCAGCTGGTAGCATGTACATATAAAAACAAGGGGCTAAGGATGGAGCCTTGAGGAACACCACAGGTCAAATGCATTTAAAAAGATTAATAGTAAACAGATTTGATGTCTTAAATTAAATATCATAAGAAGGATGTGTGAAATACTACTACACTAGATACACTACATACTAAATTCTACTACAAATAGTAATAATATAAATAAATTCTTGTAATATTTCATATCCACAAAATACATTAATTTTAGGTTGAAGGATACTTAAGTATCTTGGGTACAGTACAACTCAAAGTTTCTCTGTTATCTTCAGTGCTGATCTCCCCGCTCTGCCGTAGGACCAATGAAGGTGAGTAATTGTCTTCTCTGACAGTCAAAAGCTGTAGAACAGGCCAAGGGGGGGCCAGCTAACCTGTTTGACTGTGTTGGGCTGACATTTTTAACACTTTTAACATGGAAAAAATTACCGTAAACTCATCTTATTTTGAAACCATGTCGGGGAAAAAAACAGCTTTCACATGTGGTGTCTTACTATTGAGCATAGTGAGAGTCCAGTCTGTTTGCTTGAGCTAAAGACATACTTTAGGCCGACTGCCTTTGATGGCCAAGCAATGGAAATCAAGAAATGTTGCACTCTGTTCAGAACTACAGCTATGCCATTGTTAGCTCCCCAGCAATGTGACATTGGCCCCTTATTTATCAGTCTGTCTTACAAACCAGTGCAGATCCAAGTGCAGAAATCAGCTTAGTATACAGTTCATGTGTGATTCATGAAACCCTCTCATCTCTCCAATCACAGTGTAGGAATGATCAGATGATAACAACTGTCATTTAAATCACCCGCCTGAGAGTTGGCGACATGGAGAGACATATTATGGCCATGAAGAGAAACTTCTCTGAGCTACAGATGGAAGCCCTGATGTCCTCAGGTTCAATTTAACCAACTGGTTTTATTTGTCAGTCTGAAAAGTTTCATCAAAGGAAGTACTAAAAACGTAGTATGGAAAGAAATCACTGATGCAGTCAACAGTGTTACAGTGGACAATCGAACTCCAGCTGAGGTTGGAATATTGAATTTATATATCCATGACATGTACCAACCTATAGGCTACATAATATATAATATTAGCCTACATAAAATATAATATTGATATTATCATATTGATCATATAAAAGCTTATAATTGACCCAGACCAAGGAGCACGTGGCAACATGTATCAGGTCTGCTTCTTTGTCATTAATAACATGTGGTGGAGGAGACACAGACATGTGTCCAAGGCAGACACCAGTAAAAATGTAATCACCTAGGCTACTAGTATTTAAATAATGACACAGTTGAAGGGTGTATTTATGACTTTTTAATGTTTTAATGATTATGAACATGCTTTGGTTTGTCAGTGTCTGAAAAAGAAAAGTTTCAGACAGAATCAAGCACATGCAGTGTTCATCCTTCAGTCTGGAGTCAGTCTCACACAACCAGCCAGCTGTGATGTGAACGTTCATGTGGCAACTGTACATTATGAAGTGATTAATATGTAAATGTAAATACTTAGATGTCAGTCAGAATATGATCTAATTACAATTCTCCTCCTCAGTCAGAAATACTGTTGAACAGTCCACGCTGACTCAAAGCTGCGTACATGAGCTGAGACCTGACATGAGATGTGATCGTAGCCTCGTCTGCACTGAGAAGTGTTGAGCTTTGTGTGGAAAAGTCTGTAAACCCAGTTTTGTGTCATACATTTATCTCATAAATAAGGGGCCATTGTATTAACACAAAATCTATTAGACTTGTGGCTATAGTCAAGTTTGATAATCAAAATCTTAATCAAGTGTTTCTGGAGCTAAAGATCTTCACCATCGCTTTGGCATAAACTTCTGATATCTATGCTCAATAAGCACAGAAGGCTGTTCAAGGCAATGTCAAGCTTTACTTGTGACGCCCATCTGGTCATTTAGCTAAAAATATAACTAATACCCTGCAGCCTCTCTGACTGTGAGTCCCAGCAGCTCTCAGCTGTTTAAAGATGAGTCTGTCTCTCTGAGCTGTGAGGAGGACGACAGCTCTGCTGGATGGACTCTGAGGAGGAACACAAGCGATGAAACCAGAGTGGCGTGTCACGACTGGGGAACACCTGCTGGTTCTTCCTGTAACATCAGCTACACAACCATGCTGGACAGTGGAGTTTACTGGTGTGAGTCCAGAGAGGGAGCAACCAGTAAGAGCATCAACATCAGTGTCACTGGTAAGATCAGACTGTGGAGTCAGTGTTGATGAAGCTGTGTGTAAATGGATGAAATGCTGTAGTTTGTCTCTGTGTTGAGGTGGATCAGTGATCCTGCAGAGTCCTGTCCTCCCTGTGATGGAGGGACATGATGTCACTCTGCACTGTAAAACAAAGACGTCCTCCAACCTCCCAGCTGCTTTCTATAAAGATGGCTCCTTCATCAGGACTGAGCCTGCAGGTCACATGACCATCCGCCATGTAACCAGGTCTGATGAAGGCCTCTACAAGTGTGACATCACAGGTCATGGAGAGTCTCCACCCAGCTGGCTCACTGTCACAGGTCAGGAGGTCAAACTTTATGAATACATTTATAATCTGACAACATGTCTAACTTTGCATTCAGCACAGAAACGTGTAAAATGTGTCAGCGTTCAGCCCACGTTTGATACATGTGATGTTTTCGTCTAAAGTCAATTCAGGAAATATTTTCAGATATGATTTGAAACCAGCTGCTATAAAGTGCTGCATTTATGAGCTTTTGTTAAAAATCAAATATTAAACTGCACCAAGCTGAGAACATCTGATTTACACAGGAAAAAATGAGTGAATGTGTTTTCTATTTATTTTTATTTTGGTGCCTTTGATTTTATATTTGTTTTTGTTTTTTTAGGAAGACCCACCACTACACCTTCTCCCACAACCACCCCTTCCTCTGGTTCCTCCTCTTCCTCACCCAGCTCTACCTCTGGTTCCCCTCCTCCTGAGTACATCCTGTGGGCTGTGGTTTCATCTGTCTGTGTGCTGGTGTTGCTGGTGTTGCTGGTTCTCCTGGTGAGACGATGCATCCACAGGAAACATAAAGGTCAGACACAAAAAAGACAAACAGTGTTTCACAGGTTAATTTTAACCTTCTGCTGCAGCTCACATTTAAAATCTCATTTTACTGTTGAAACTTTTTTATCAACATTACAACACTGAAATAATTACAAGTCTTCAACTCTAATAAACTGAAGTCAAACGTCGATGAAGATTTCCATAAATTACTTTTCTGTTGTTAACATCCTCACCACGAGGTCCATTTAGTACATTCTGGAGCTTTTGATTGTATCACATGGTCTTCCTCAGCAGCTGAAGTCTGAAACTGTAGATGATCAGTTTCTAATGTGTTGTAAGCATTTCCCTTTTGTGTTGTCTCAAACGTTGATGGTAAAATTGATCATAATTATTCTGATTAATTTCAGCCACTGAAGTTGGAGATGATGACATCAGAGATGACATCACATACAGTGATGTCAAAATATCACGTAACCTGCAACAGCCAATCAGAGGGAGCAGAGGTAACGACAGTCTTATTAATTTTAAGGGGACTTTTAGGGATGTTGACTGTGTGTGTGTGTGTGTGTGTGTGTGTGTATATATATTCTTGTTCTTCTATTCTTGTGAGGACCATTATGAGTTACAGAACTTAAGAGGACCTTTTGGAAAGTGAGGCCATTTTCATAAAAGAAGGATATTTTAAAGAGCATGTAAATTAATATTTGAAGCCTATCAAGTGTCAGGCTGTAGGAGGCTATCTTAGTTGATGGCGGTCTGCGTTGTGCTTTGCATGCGTCCGTTTGCACCCTGTGGTTAACAGAAGCTAGCAGCTCTGTGGTCGTCCAGTTTCCTGTTTCTGATCAAAACACTTGAGCTGAATGTGGACCTGCACATATTTCACTGCAGGACTGTGAACAAACAAAGAAACAACATGAACCAAATATAAATGTGCAGATTGACACATCTGTCTACATTCTGATCACAAACTATTTATCTTAAAATAAGGAGCTGTGATTTAGTCAACAGTTGTTCTGTTTACTTAATTTTATTTTAGACATTTAAAATGTGATCAGCATGACAGCACACCTTCCTCATCACTAAAAATATTGGTCCACCTTTTCATGGCAACATTGTCACTTCTGCAGCTGAATCCAAAAACCATCGAGCTTCAATACGAAAACAAAATGGATGTAAAATGTTTTGTGACCACAGTTTGTTTTCAAAAGGCTGAACACCAACAAAAAAGGACTAGAACAGAATATTTTGTTAGAAACAAAAAGTTGAAAAGTTGGAAATGATTACTTCTGTCTTTTTATAATAAGTGTTGACTTTTGGACTTTACAGCTCTTATTAGAAATGTTTGGATCACATCAGCTGTGCCGTTAGTTGGTAACATCTTCAACAATAATCTACATGTGAAGTTCCCAGGTGTAGTAGCTCAATCTGTGTGTGCTATTTTATTTATTTAATTTTTTATTTTATTTTTTCAAAAATCTTAGTTACATCAGGATTGAGCTAGCAAGGTAGTTTTGTGTTTCTATGTGCAGTATTTATTCAGTTTGAGAAATCCCTCGTTCTCTACACAGCATTAACGTTAGCTCTCATTGGCTGGCTGATTCAACGGGGACTTGAAACCATCTCTATAGGTCGTTACTACGGGTCGGCCAAGTTGTTGGAGTAAACTAGTTTTCCTTATACAGGAGTCCACTGACGTGACTGACTGTTTTACAGTTACTTCTCCGACCACGTGCTTATCCATAAAAATGAAAATACATTTTCATTATATCCTCAGTCAGTAGTGGTTCTAGCCTAAATGGCGTCCTGGGCAACACCCCCCTATTAAACAAACTAAAGAGCATTATGTTATTTATCTTATTTACACCATGGCATGTCATTTCTGTCTCTACATGGTCGCCCTTCACAAATCTCCTCTGCTCTCTGTATCTCACATGGCGGCCGACGCACGCGCGCGCACACACACACACATACATACATACATACACACACACACACACACACACACACACAAACACGTGCGCGCACTTACAGGTGAGCACACTGGCTCAGGCCGCATTTTCCTGACAGAAGAGTCCGACGCAGTGTGTTACCTGACATAGTTACTGTTATAGACAGTGTGTAACACGCTGCTCGCACAGCAGCACAGCACAGTACTGGACACACACTCAGGTCCCGTTTATACGACAGCGATTTTAACTGAAAACGGTAAACTTTAGTTGCGTTTTGGTCAATCATTTACACCACAGCAGCGTTTTGGGTGCCTGAAAATGCAACGTTTTGAAAACGGGTTCCAGAGTGCAATTTTTTGGAAACAGCAGCGACCTCCACAGCCCTCGCTGGACGGATGCTCAAGTGTAGGTGAGAGGAGCGGAGAGGACCAGCAATGGTAATACATAGTTACCTGGGCTTCATCAATCAAATGATGTGTTACTGCCCAACACTGATTATAACTATTTAATAAGAAAGTAGTATTTGGGTATAGCAAAAAATATAAATGAACTTCAGGTTGCAGCCTCCACTCGGAAAATTAAACGGCCCTAAGAACCTAAACTCCAGTACTGCAGCTTTACCTTGCTCGATTTTGCAGCTCCGTGTGAACAGGGACTGTTTCAATAATGTTGTCATATAAACGCAGAAGTTTTCTAAAACGCAAAGGACAGACTTTTCCATTTTTAGAGAAACCGTTGTCGTCTAAACAGGGCCTCAGTTGGAGTGGAGCCTGTGTTGCGCTCAGGCATTGTCACGTAAACAACAAATTCCAGCACTTTAATAGGCCAAAACACAACACAGCTCCTGCCGCCCCGTGACAAAGTGCTGCCCTGGGCAAACGCCCATTCGGCCCATATCAGCATCCACCACTGTCCTTAGTCCTGTATCTTTTATCGTTATCATGTTTTTAATTTTGTTGGTAACTGTTGTGTAACTGCAGTATGACAAAGCACACCCTCTCCTGTGAAACAGCTTGTTTGTGTAGTTTGTGTATCATCCTGACATGTTTGTTCTGCGGTCAACATGTCAACATATCTTTAGAGAAGCTCACAGCTCTGTTGTTAAGTCCTCGTCTCATAGTTCGGGTCTGTTTTCAGCCTTCACGGCAGCAGAAGTGTTAAAAAGAAAAAAAAAACCTGTCAAATGTTAATTGCACTTTTACACATCTGTCTTTAAAATACAGTCAGGTCCATAATTATTTGGACAATGATACAGTTGTCATCATTTTGGCTCTGTACACCACCACAATGGGTTTTAAATGAAACAATGAATACCTGCTTAAAGTGCAGACTCTCAGCTTTCATTTAAGCCTTTTTTCAAAAATGTAGTATGAACCGTGTAGGAATTACAACCATTTCTTCACACAGTCCCCCGACTTTAAGGGCTCATAAGTATTTGGACAAACTATTACAATCATTAATTAAACAGTCAGTTTTAATACTTGGTTGCAAATCCTTTACAGTCAATGACTGCCTGAAGTGTTGGACACATAGGCATCATCAGATGCTGGGTTTCTTCCCTGGTGATGCTCTGCCAGCCCTTTACTGCAGCCGTCTGCACTTCCTGCTTGTGTTTTGGGTGTTTTGCCCTCAGTTTTGGCTTCAGCAAGAGAAACGCATGCTCAGTTGGATTCAGGTCAGATGATATGACTTGGCCATTGCAGAACATTCCACTTCTTTGCCTTAAAAATGTCTTTGGTTGCTTTTGCAGTATGCTTCAGGTCAATGTCCATCTGCACTGTGAAGCATCGTCCAATGAGTTTTGAAGCATTTAGTTGAATCTGAGCAGATGATGTAGCCCCAAACACTTCAGCTTTCATCCTGCCAAATGATGGCAACTGTAACATTGTCCAAATAATTATGGACCTGACTGTATGTCCTGATATTTGCTGCTTTAATTGATCAGTTCCTTCCTTTTCTAGCTCGATATGAAATACATTATTATTACTGACTGTAGCAGGAGCTTAAATACCCTGAATTCTTTACGTCTAATGGTGACTACAGCAGCAGCAGTGCTTATATTAACTGTTCTGGTATCAGTTGCAGAACCTGCAGTAATGTAATCTGTATTTTATTTCCCAGAGAGCGATCCAGCTGCCGTCTACTCAGCAGTGAGAGGAGCAGACGACATCAGCTACGGACAAATAGTCGTCAAAGACATCAAATCAAACAGGAAGAGAGGTACAGCTGTTTGTCTTTGTCTCCATCATGGACCATCTGTAGAACACAGAAGAGTTCAGCTGGTCACTGCAGTTTATGTCAAACCAACAGGAGGACATGATGCATCTGTTTGGGACTATTTTCAGTGGTGGACTGATACACATCTGGTGCTCTAGTGGCAGCGACGTGTATCTGGGATTGGGTCAAAATTAACCACAGTGACTTAACATGCACAAAATATTCTGGTTTTCACCCTTATTTAAAAAACTATATTCCTACTAAGCTGCTGACATGGCTCGTGAAAATAATTATTCCACTAATATTCCTGTGGTGGGAACAAATGGCTCAAAGTATTCAAATCAGAAACAATTAATGGTCATTAAGCACTTATTAATTATATTGAATAATATGATTTAATTTGAATTAAATCACCTTGTGGGAAAAAATATCGGCTGATTAACAATTCAGCCTCATAAAATATTATTAATATTTGAAATAACTAATAAAATAAGATGTTAATAGTAAAGAACTGGTCACTCTTTGTCTGTACCGAGTTAGCAGTTGGGTGCTAACTGGGCTTTGTTCTCCTGTTGGAAGGTTAGCTTGCAGACTTCGTGCCTGGAGCACTAACTTGTCTGGTCTCTTCAACCTGTGAGAAGAGTTTTTGCATCTACTGTGAGAGGACACATGCAGGTCAGAGAGTCCTCTCTGCTGTGAGGAGAGGTGAGAAAAGCGGGGGCGAGGCGTAGCGGGTCCTTTAGCACCCAACACCCATGACATCACAGGGTCACATGCTACAGTGACCAATGGTGATCGAATGGGCAAGTTTGCACATGAAGGTGTGAAAAAGCAGGGGCTATGAGAATTTAGCAGCCCTTTATCTGAATATCTGACACCCTCAGCAGCCATTTTAGGTGGGCTGAACTTACAGGACATGCAGGACATGTCTTACAGTTTAGGGTTGCACAGATCAACAAGTCACCTATGTAGTCCAGTGGTCTCAACACCATGTACATGCAGCTGTGCATACTTCCATTCTACCTGTCACGGACTTGTTGGACTGTGTGAACACAGTCTCCCTTGTTCTTCTCTTCAACCATCCTTGAACATTCTCTGAAGGAAGGAATCTGTCCTCAGTAGAATTTGAAGGATCCTTGACACTGGAACAGTCCGTCAGTGGGATTCGGTGACGTAGTCTTTTTGGTATTCGGCCATTTAAGGATCCTTTCTTGACTTTGAGAAGCACTGTGTGTGTGTGTGTGTGTGTGTGTGTGTGTTCATGGTAATAAAGAAACATGTTACTGAGTGCAACAGTGTGACTCACTGATGTGCTTTTAACGACAGTGGAGCTCTGTGGTACAGACGAAGAAGACATGTCCGGCTGTAGGTACATTCACTGTTGGTTTGAGTCTGAACATCAGATTTTTCTTTTTTTTTTGAAGAGATGTGAAATAACTCCAGACTAAAACAAAGTTTAAGAATAAAACAAAGAACAGGAAAGTGTATCCTAACTCAAAGTAAGATTTGAGGCATCTATAAAAGAGGAGACGGACTCAGAGGACCAAAGTTTCCTACGCCTCAAACTGACTTTTTTTTTTCACTGTGCATGTAAAACCACAGCAGCTACTTCCTCCTGTTGATTCCAGTGAACTGTGGCGTGACACTGATCAGGTTTCTCACTAGTCTCCTCTGCTGTAGCTGACAGTGACGCCTTTTGCACCCTGTGGTTTAATGTGCCATTTTCTTTTAATCGCAGTGAGCAGCTTTGTGGTGGTCCAGTTTCCTGTTTCTGATAAATACCCTCCAGTTATGTTTGGTCTTTCATTGTTCACAGCAGCACCAAAAACCTGCAGGCATTTTAGAGTCCATCACAAATGTGATTATAATTCAACATGACCAATAATCACACAGCAGTAGTGTTAGTCGTCTTTATATTGCTATCAGTAGCTGGTGCTAACACCAGCAGTCCTAAGCTAACAGTAACAGTATCAGGTGCACTACCTGCAGTAATGTACGTTAATATAAGTTGCATGTATTTTATTTTTCAGAGAGGGAACCAGCTGCAGTTTACTCAGCAGTGAGAAGAAAAGAAGACGTCAGTTATGGACAAATAAAGATCAGTCCGAACAGGAGGAGAGGTACAGCTGCTCTTTATTACTGAACTCTACCACAGAGCCAGGCTAGCTGTTTCCCCCTGCTTCCAGTCTTTGTGCTAAGCTAAGCTAACCACGTCCTGACTCCAGCTCTGAACTGAACACACAAACATGAGACTGATATCAATCTCCTCTTCTCACTCTCAGAAAGAGATTATTTACCAAAGTGTTGAACTGTTCCTTTAAAGAAATCTGTGTAACAGGGATGTAAAGTCAGAAAGTCTGTGGGTCTGATTTAAAATATGTAATGTAAATAATCTGGACGCAAAGGCACGAGGGGCAAAGGGGTTGTTTTTAGTCCCTTAACTAATCTGTGTTTTGGGCTTAACATCAATTCAATCAGAGCGTCATCTCCCATTCCCTTTAAAAGCCAGATGCACCTGCTGCACTGCTGTTTACATGACGGATCCAGCAAAGTGGAGCACAGAGCAGTTTTCTGCTGATAGTAATGCAGCAAGAGCAGAGCAGTGATGTCACTGCAGCAAATATCAAAACTAAAAATATAGTTACTTGGCAGAACTAAACTTTAAGCTTCTAAAATAATCAAAGTTACGCTGCTCCTCGTGTGTAAATGTGCACAGTATCTCTCTTAACGTGGAGTCAGACAGCAGCTCTGCTCTGCTCTGCTACGTTCACATTTTACAGAGAATATCATTTATATTTTCCTCATTAATGATTATTTCACCCACCTACAACCCATCTGCTCGTCCATGTGTGCATAGTCTCTATATACAGAGTCTGTAGGCAAACCCCGGAGATCTTGCCTCCGGAAGAAGAGCGGAAGAGCCCTGGTTTCCGGTTGTAGGCTGTTTGTAGTCCGCATGATATTGACCAATCACGTTTGAGCTGGCTGCAGTTGTTGTCAGGTTAAACGGTCTGTGCGGTGAACTAACAAGACAGAACATAACTGGCATCACTGCAAACTCTGAATCCATCGCAATGGTTCAGCATATTTACTTATATATAAACGGAAGTCGGAAACGGAAATTCGCCTCCTCCGCCCAAATCAAACCAGAATGCCAAAAAATCAGGGGTCTGCCGATGGGTTCCAAGAATGATGTGTGCATAACAAGCAGAGCTTATGCATGTTGTGAACCCGCCTCTGTAGGCGCATCTCACTATCTGAATAATGCGTCCTTTAAATAGGAAAACTCTGCACCATTCTGCAGATTATTACTCGTCAATGATGCAATTGCTCTCTGCTGACTAAAACTAGTAATACGCCAACAATACATATGACCCCACCTCATATAAGACCTACACACTCACCAACAAGTACACTAGATTACAATAGAAAACGGGTAATGGAAAATTTCGCCAAAACATTTTTACGCTCTCATGAGGTGGTTTTTCAGACGTGTCGATACAGATGCTGTAAGTGTCTTTCCACTGTCACTTACTGCAGGTGCATGTCGGTGCAATGAATTGATGCACGCTAGGCTTGGCTCTCACAAACAATGTCCACACGTTTCCTGTCGCTTTGCTCCATTTATTTCTTCCATACATTTAAGCGCGAGAAGGTACAGCACATTGCTTTGTAGCAATTTGGAAGTCTATTATTTAATACTGCTCCTGTCTGCAGACACCTCAGCCGTGCCTCAGCCACGGTCAAAAAACTGTTTGCCTCTACACGCACACCTGGCCTCATTAACCTGGCTGAATAAATGAACTTTCACCGGAAGTTGCCACAGTGCCTCACAGTACAAAATGTTTTACAACAAAAATAAACACACACATCGATAAATGGCTGTAACAGATGCATGTTGCAAAAGTGTAATGCACTTTTAGTGCATTAACACGTCACGTGACCCCACTACAGTACGTCACCGGACGGGTTCTTTTCCATCTGCTTTTATGGCGGCTGTCGTATAACCAAAACAAAATCGCCAATATTGCCATATTTTGCGTGGCAATATCATATCGTTACATGAGTTCTAAATATATATATATATTTATCTATTTATTTTTATTTTTTTTCAATATAAATTTTTATTATTACAAAATACAAATTTGTTTGTAGCCTACTAGAATAATGAAATCAGTATCTTCTTTCCTCCACTAGATACATTTTGCTGCAACAAAACTGACTGAAAACTTAATCTTATTTGATAAAACCACAGAAACAGAAATTTTCCCTTTGGGACGTAGTGTGCAAACGGTAATAAATCACAATGTATCACAACATGTCACTGCCATACTTAGCATAACACAACACATTTAAAATCGCAATAATACTCATTCAGGTCACCAGACTATCACAGGACTGACGCTTCCCCCCCCCACCCTCTTTTGAGCTGTGCGCTAACATTAAGTTATTTGAATTTGTAGCGGGTTCATAGCTGACAGTGACATAGCTAAGCCTAAAATAAGCTCTCACAAGGAAAAAAATGAAATATATGTTTGCTTTATTGTTACGCCAATATCTACTCTGGACACGCAGACAAAAGGATGTAATTGTCAAAAAAAATGTAGTTGTTGACTGAGTGGGGGAGGGGCCCCTTGGACTCCAAGGCCGCCCTGCCTTGCGGGGGCTGCTTCGACCCCACAGAGCTGCAGAGTTCAGAGAACAGAATGAATACTGCTGAGAAACACTGGTTTTAGACATTAGCTGCTAACGTTAGCATGCAGCAAACTGAAAACAAGACTTTAGATTATATTTCACCTCACATTATAAACATTAGACTCATGTTATTTGTGTAGGTTATATTACAGCTCATGACGCGACACTGACTTCCTGTTTACACACAGATTATAGATCATATAGAATAATAATAATATATAAAGTGTTTGTGTCTTTGTCTCCAACAGTTTCTCATGTTGTTTAAACTGTGTGTATGTTCAGAGCCTCCAGCAGAGCCACAGGTCATCTACTCTTCACTGAGGTAGACCTTCACACCTTCACACCAGTCCAACCAGTGAATCCAGCTGGCCTGTCACTGGTCCCCACAGCCCCTCACACCTCAGGACATTCATGGGCTTTATTTCTTATTTCTATATGTGAAAGTTAAATGAGACTGGTGCAGCTACAGAGAGACAAACAGCTTCACTTTACACATTATTGTTTTACTTTTCTTTGGATAAATAACTTGTTAAATACTTATTTGTTTAGGTGGTAGTGTTTCAGTAGGGTGAAGAACACCGACATGTTTCTACTGAACAGAAGCTGCTGATAATAATGAACTTTACTGCTCTAATATTGATATCAAGTGGTGTCTCTGCAGGATCAATAAACTCTGGTATCTCTGCCTGTCCTCCTCGTGTGCTTCTGTGGGTTTCACTAAGCTGACACATGGAACATTTGACTTGTTCTGGTTTGGTTGTGGCTAACCGCTCGGTGCAGACAACAAAACAAACACACCGCAGACTATAAACAGCGCCAACATCAGTCAGCAGCTGGAAACTCACACCACTCTGTGCGCGTGTGAAGAAGTTTGGTTCTGTAGTCGACGGATTATTAAAACTATTTAGTTTCTTTAAGGTATGAAGAAGTTTAAATGACACATCAGATCCTGTTTTTCAGTTCAGACCCAAACAAACAGCCACATTATGAAGTGATCACCACATTTTCAGGGCAGCTTCACCATTATTGTGTCCATATGAACAGTCAGACATTTGCTGTCAGTTAAAATGAGCTGTGAGCAGTCTGGTTTATTGAAATCCAGAGATTAATTTCTCATATATCTGACTATGATCGTGTTTATCGTCAGTCTGACTCAACAGGATGCTGCTCTATGACAACAGCTCCAGTGCTACACCTTCTGACTGCTGTTATTATTGCACCACCAAGATTTATCACAACACACAAGTTATCAGAACAGCAGCACCGACACACACACATTTCCATGGATATATCCCAGTTCTCCTAAAACATTTTCCTTTTCCTCTATCTTACTGAAGACTGAGGAAAAAGGAAACAAGGGAACTTTTTGTTTTTTAGAGAAATTAGACATCTTTGACTCTAAACTATCATCTGAAGCAACAAGTGACACAGCCACGTCACAGCCAGCTCACAGCCGGATCACAGCCGGATCACAGCCAGAACACAGCCAGCTCACAGCCAGATCACAGCCAGAACACAGCCAGATCACAGCCAGAACACAGCCAGAACACAGCCAGATCACAGCCGGATCACAGCCAGATCACAGCCAGAACACAGCCAGAACACAGCCAAGTCACAGCCGGATCACAGCCGGATCACAGCCGGATCACAGCCAGAACACAGCCAGAACACAGCCAGATCACAGCCAGATCACAGCCAGAACACAGCCAGAACACAGCCAGGTCACAGCCAGATCACAGCCGGATCACAGCCGGATCACAGCCAGAACACAGCCAGAACACAGCCAGATCACAGCCAGATCACAGCCAGAACACAGCCAGAACACAGCCAGGTCACAGCCAGATCACAGCCGGATCACAGCCGGATCACAGCCAGAACACAGCCAGAACACAGCCAGATCACAGCCAGATCACAGCCAGAACACAGCCAGAACACAGCCAGGTCACAGCCAGATCACAGCCGGATCACAGCCGGATCACAGCCAGAACACAGCCAGAACACAGCCAGATCACAGCCAGATCACAGCCAGAACAAAGCCAGAACACAGCCAGATCACAGCCAGATCACAGCCAGATCACAGCCGGATCACAGCCAGAACACAGCCAGATCACAGCCAGATCACAGCCAGATCACAGCCAGAACACAGCCAGAACACAGCCAGATCACAGCCAGAACACAGCCAGATCACAGCCAGATCACAGCCAGAACACAGCCAGAACACAGCCAGATCACAGCCAGATCACAGCCAGATCACAGCCAGAACACAGCCAGATCACAGCCAGATCACAGCCAGATCACAGCCAGAACACAGCCAGAACACAGCCAGATCACAGCCAGATCACAGCCAGATCACAGCCAGAACACAGCCAGATCACAGCCAGATCACAGCCAGATCACAGCCAGAACACAGCCAGATCACAGCCAGATCACAGCCAGATCACAGCCAGAACACAGCCAGAACACAGCCAGATCACAGCCAGAACACAGCCAGATCACAGCCAGAACACAGCCAGAACACAGCCAGATCACAGCCAGAACACAGCCAGATCACAGCCAGAACACAGCCAGAACACAGCCAGATCACAGCCAGAACACAGCCAGATCACAGCCAGAACACAGCCAGAACACAGCCAGATCACAGCCAGAACACAGCCAGAACACAGCCAGATCACAGCCAGAACACAGCCAGATCACAGCCAGAACACAGCCAGAACACAGCCAGATCACAGCCAGAACACAGCCAGAACACAGCCAGATCACAGCCAGAACACAGCCAGAACACAGCCAGATCACAGCCAGAACACAGCCGGATCACAGCCAGATCACAGCCAGAACACAGCCAGAACACAGCCAGATCACAGACAGAACACAGCCGGGTCACAGACAGATCACAGACAGAACACAGCCAGAACACAGCCAGAACACAGCCAGAACACAGCCAGATCACAGCCAGAACACAGCCAGAACACAGCCAGATCACAGACAGAACACAGCCGGGTCACAGACAGATCACAGACAGAACACAGCCAGATCACAGACAGAACACAGCCAGAACACAGCCAGATCACAGCCAGAACACAGCCAGAACACAGCCAGATCACAGACAGAACACAGCCGGGTCACAGACAGATCACAGACAGAACACAGCCAGAACACAGCCAGAACACAGCCAGAACACAGCCAGATCACAGCCAGAACACAGCCAGAACACAGCCAGATCACAGACAGAACACAGCCGGGTCACAGACAGATCACAGACAGAACACAGCCAGATCACAGACAGAACACAGCCAGAACACAGCCAGATCACAGCCAGAACACAGCCAGAACACAGCCAGATCACAGACAGAACACAGCCGGGTCACAGACAGATCACAGACAGAACACAGCCAGAACACAGCCAGAACACAGCCAGAACACAGCCAGATCACAGCCAGAACACAGCCAGAACACAGCCAGATCACAGACAGAACACAGCCGGGTCACAGACAGATCACAGACAGAACACAGCCAGAACACAGCCAGAACACAGCCAGAACACAGCCAGATCACAGCCAGAACACAGCCAGAACACAGCCAGATCACAGACAGAACACAGCCGGGTCACAGACAGATCACAGACAGAACACAGCCAGAACACAGCCAGAACACAGCCAGAACACAGCCAGATCACAGCCAGAACACAGCCAGAACACAGCCAGATCACAGACAGAACACAGCCGGGTCACAGACAGATCACAGACAGAACACAGCCAGAACACAGCCAGATCACAGCCAGAACACAGCCAGATCACAGCCAGAACACAGCCAGAACACAGCCAGATCACAGACAGAACACAGCCGGGACACAGACAGATCACAGACAGAACACAGCCAGAACACAGCCAGATCACAGCCAGAACACAGCCAGATCACAGCCAGAACACAGCCAGAACACAGCCAGATCACAGACAGAACACAGCCGGGTCACAGACAGATCACAGACAGAACACAGCCAGATCACAGACAGAACACAGCCAGAACACAGCCGGGTCACAGCCAGAACACAACCAGATCGCAGCCAGATCGCAGCCAGAACGCAGCCGGAAACAGACTGCAGCTGCTTCTCTTTGATATTGTCACAACACACACACATCTGCTGCTGTCACACATTTATTGACTGATCAGAAAAACACACACTGAACTCATATATGTGGCTCTGCAGCCTGCAGGCCTTCTCTCATCTTAATGTTCTGCCCCCTGCTGGTGTTGAGTCGTACTGCAGCTCCAGGTTTTACTTTATGAAACTCACTCCACCTGAATCCAAACACTTGTTTTTATTATTCAGAGTGTCACAAAGCATGTGCTCCTCTGTGTATATACAGTCAGAGCAGCTGTGGAGCTGCCACATTTAAATTATCCAATATCTGAGAGAGTTTAGAGGAAAGGAACAAAATGTGCACCCAATGCAATTTATCTTAAAAAAATATATATATATTTTATTTTTTTAAAAAGCCTAACAAACCCTCCACCATGATAAGAGGGGAGAATTATTTACTCCAGTGAAATGTCTCTGTAGGAACATTATATATAAAACAACTGATTCCTGTACAAAAAATAAAATCAGAGCAGATCTTTCAGTAAAAACTGACAGATTCAGTTTCACTGCACATGATGAGGCGGGGAGTCATGGAGGACAGGGACACATGAGCTCACACACTCAGACAGAAAGATAAGCGTCTGTGATATTTCAGATGAGTGGATCAACACTCCCTTTAAGAGAGGACTGCTCTGATCTTTGGTCTGTACGTCTCTTATATATCCAGACAGCAACAAACACTGCAGCAGCTAAAAGAAGCACTGCAACACCTCCTGCTGCCAGTCCAACGTATCCACGAGAGGAGGGTCCACCCATGGAGTGTTCCTTCACTGCACCTGCAGATTAAATAAATCAGAGTCAGTAAATGTGTGATTAGTTGAACAGCCTTCATTTGTCTTGTGTATTTCTGATGTTTGACTCTCAGGAATAAACTGCAGCTCCAACCTGATACACAGACACACACACTGAGCTCCACACACTCACCTCTGACCTCCAGGTAGATGACTCTGATTGGATCAGTCTTAATGATGGCTCTCTTTGTACGTCTTGATCCACCTGCTGCAACTCGACACTCGTATCTTCCAGAGTCTCTGCTGGTCACATTCTTCAGAGTTAAAGACACGTCTCCGTCCTTCAGCTCTCTGTCCACCAGCTCCACCCTGCCTGTAAAGGATGGATGCTGGAGGGTTGGGTCTAAGTGTCCGTCTCTGTAGAAGAGGACGTACTCTGGCTCCAGGTCAGGTCTGGTCCACTCTACAGCTCTGATGGAGACATCACCAGCCTCACATCTCAGAGTGACGTCATCTCCAGGGCGCACTGTCACATGTTGGTCTGAAAAACAAACAAACAAAAAAAAGTTTCAAAAAGTGATTCCATCTGTGAGGGACGCCACAGAGAGTCAGACATAAATCCTCTGACACCACAGAGGTGTAATATGAAGCCTTTCTTTGCACCAGTGCATTCTCAGTTGGGGGTATTTGCTCCATGCCTGTCTTTATTTCAATGTTGAGCTGGCTCCTGGTGAGGTCAGGACAGTGGAGGACTGAATGCTTCCACAAGCCTTTGACAGAGCCACGAAGATCTCTGTTACCATATCATCAGCGTTCAAGGCATCCCATGTTGTCTTCTTACCTGACCATCCATGATGGCAACAGAACAAGAATAGGGATGGGAATCGAGAACCGGTTCCAACTGATTCAATTCATCGACATCATTAGCCTTTATGCTTAACGATTCCCTTATCGATTCTTTTCATTACGCTGAATCTTTACGTCGATGACGCAGGTCACGCTCGTCAGTCAGCAGCACGTTCAACAACAAAGAAGACGGAAGACGGAAGTGGTCAAAAGCGAGGCTTCACTTCACCAAAAAAGACTCTAACAGCGCGACATGTAATTTATGCAGCACCGTAATTACATGCAGGGGGAAAACACCACCAACTAGGCCTGAACGATAAGCATCGCCATCATGATGTACACGTGTGCAATATTTACATTGTGGGCCTGCCCTAATTAAATTAAGCCTGCACGTTTAAATTGCCGAGTGATGTGCGTAAAACTCGCTTCTGTTTTAATGACTGACCAACAAAAGATGTCTAATTTAGAGGAATAAAGAATAAACGGCCTATTCAAGTGCAGGAATTAGTTATTTACGTGACAACGCCCAAGAGGTTGAAAGTAACTAATTACATTTACTCACGTTACTGTAATTGAGTAGTTTTTTTGTGTAATTTGTAATTTTTTCAGTAGTTTTTGAAATCTGTAATTTTACTTTTACTTACGTACATTTTGACTTAAGTATTGTACTTTGCTACATCTGAAATCACATCCGTTACTGAGTAAAAAAAAAAAAAAAAAAAAGTTTTTGGCTAAATGGAAACCAAAAGGGTGAATCTCGCGTGGAATTGACCCAGAACAAGCGGCCGGTGCTGGCGAGTTACTGGAGAGAGAGATGGAGGAGGGTGGGACACAAGCACCAGCAGACGGATTACAGCCAGATCACAGCACAAGCAGACGCAGCAGCTGAAATGAACGAAGAAATGAACGAAACCAAAGAAAACCCAGTGTGCACAGTGCTGTTTATAATTGTCGGTCAGAAAAATGCGGCCTGAACCGCGCTCTTGTGTGCTCACGTGTGTGTGTGCGTGTGTCTGTATGTGTGTGTGTGTGTGTGTGTGTGTGTGTGTGTGTGTCGGGGCCGAACTCCGCTGTGCGCGATACAGAGAGCAGAGGAGGATTGTAAAGGTGCGACCATGTAGAAACAGAAATGACATGCGGTCGCGTAAACAATTTAAGTCATCACGTTATAAAGTGAAACGTTTCACCATATAACACGATAAATAGTATGTTGTTATGTTATTATATGAAGCGCAAAATAATATAACTGTAGTTTATGAAGAGATCAGACGGAGCCCTCTCCTCTCCTCTTATATGCTTTACTCACAAGTGTGTGAATTGACCTGGATATGAAGCGTCCATAGCACCAAATAATATAACGGTAGTTTCTAAAGAGCTGAGACGCTGATAGTTGTATACAGGGGAAGCACTGAGAGAGATAGTGGTGTCACTGAACAAATGCCTATTTTCAGCACATTTCATGCTGTTGCATTCAAAGCAGTATCAGCCTAATAATTCCAGAATGATTAATTCTCACCAAGTTGAGCTACTGAAGTCATCTGGTGGAAAATAAAGCATCCTGAAGTATAAATCACAATATATATCACAGGGGGCAAAAAAATCGCAATGTCAGTTTTTCCCAATATCGTGCAGCCGTACCACCAACATGCTGAAGTATGCGTCGTTGTGTAATGTTATTGGACGTAGATGAAAACAAATGCTGTACAAATATTCTTTTATTTGTTCCATTTTAGATGAGAGCGGGGGACCAATTTCATATTTGTTTACTTACACAAGCACTTATCTCTTGTTTAGAATAGAAACTCAATAAAATTTGTGTTGCTGACACCGAAAACCTGAAAGGTCTTTTTCTACACAGAAAATTCACAGGAGGAATCGATAAAGGAATCGATAATGGCATTGATATCAATAGAATCCTATCAATTCCCATCTCTAAACAACAACTACAGAGACAAAAACATTATGTAGAAATCAATCATTTCTTGTATCACTTCAAATGTTCATATAATAACTTTGCTGTTGTATTTACACCCAATATTATCTTTGTCTTCATTTATCATATCTTCTTTTGTAACAACTTAACACTGAGTTTATAATATCTTTATTAATATCATGTCCATATTGGACTTCTTAAATCAGAGTCTATCTTAGTGTCATTAAAATGAAGCGATGCTGTCACCTGCATGTTGCTTTGCTGCTGGTGCCCATTGCTCCTGTTGCTCCTGTTGCTCCTGTTGCTCCTGTTGCTCATGTGCCCCAGATGGCCTCACAGCTGGAACAGCAGAGACACATGTTCAGTTTGCAAAGAAACAAAGAGAGTGGATCTCTGACAAATGAAAGCGAGACTAGCTGATGGCTAGTGGTGGTGCTAGTTCTCGAGTCTCGCGTGAGATGCCATGTAAACACAGCACTCCTGCAGGCTAACTGAGCACGGTGAGAAATGATGCTATAAAAGTGGAGTAAATTACGTGTTTTCAAGTCAGTTTTGCATGCCACGGCTTCAGGACACTTGGATTACAACGGAAGAGCCGTTCTGACGTTTTTGAAATGCATTAGTGGAGTTTTATTACATTTTCAAAATGTGGGTACGAGTGTAGCTGTTATTCCAGCTAGCTGTTATCCTCCGATACCCCGAACGAGTTTTGTGGATTAAAAAACTACACTGGACTTCTTATCGGCACGAGGGTCAGTAAGTACTGTCTGTGTTTTCATTCTAAAGTGGACATTTCCTTTAATGCTGTGAAAAATGTCCGACTCGCATCTTCAGCCCTTTTTAAACAGGAGTTGTGCAAATTTGCAGGAAAGCCCAATCAGTGTTTTTTCAGCATTGGCAGTATAAAAACAAAATCGGGGAGTGCAACAAAATGCCGCCTACCTACTTTTGTTTATACAGAATGTGCCTTTTTCGGGGCAATGGGGGGCGTGAGCAAGTAACAAAACGTGTAGCTCAGCGTGTGACGTAAACAGTGACGTGGGAGGGAAGCCGCGGCTGGTCAGTCCTTCGGCGATTCTGTCATAAGTCGGCCCATTCTTCACCGTCCCCGTCATCTGACGGTTAATGGCCTCTTCGTTTGCGAGGACAAGGAGGGCGCACAATTCCTTGTCTCCCCAGTTGCTCATCTTTACAGTGTCTGTCAGGTTTGTGTTTCCCTCTTGCTACTAGCTGCTCGCTAATTCCTGCTATCAGCTGTTTCCTGTTTATCCACCGCCAGTGGCTCGCACGTGCGGCGTCATCAACAGCTCCTCCCACAAGTCATCAACAGCCCCTCCCGTTGCGGAAGGCCGCCTCGGTCTGTTTAAACTAAAAGGGTTCCACCAATATGTCTACCCTACGAGGCGGAAAATTGGGCACCTCGGATCAACTCGCCAATCCGGCTCTGTGTGTCTAAACGCTCGCAGCTTGCCGGCAAAACGGCCCAACATTCACCAAAAATCTGGCAGTGTAAAAGGGGCTTATGGTTGAAACTCAGATCGTGTCATGTGATTTGTCCAGCTGGAGTAGCCGTAGCTAGCTGTCCAAGACAGGGGGTTCATCCCATTATCCCTCCTCGACTCCTCCGTCCTTTGTCCTCGATCATTTGACCCGGATGTCGATTGAGACGCCTCAATTTGGAGGAGTCGAGGAGAGAGGAGGCTTTCAGAGGAGAGGGAAGTGAGGATACACGGAAGTCTTTTACCGACCGACACACCTCCCTGATTGGATATCAGTTATTGATTGGACAGCTGACAGACTGATCTGACACATCAGCTTCAAACAGATAAGAGATTAAACTCAGTGTGTCACTGACAGGTTTGATATTTGATTTGTTTCCTGATTCATCGAGTTCAAAATCTGAGCGAGAAAAGAAACAAACAACTTTCTGCATTGATCAGAAACGATCTGTTGTTTCTCTCATCAGCTGTTGCTATGGAGACGATCAGAGAGCCTAATAAATTATTTCCAGTGTTGAAAGACACATGATCATATTCTGGGTTATTAAATAATGAATTCACAATCAGAGTATTAATAAATACAGATGTTAAGAAACCATATAAACAGTGTGACTGTGAGCATTATAAATACAGCAGGTTGTTGTTCATGTGCAGGTGACTGTTAGACAGAGAAGAAACACTGCTGTTACCTGGATCATTACGTATGTACATATATATATGTATATATAACATGATGTGATACCTGTATCAGTATGTAATATCTCTATAAAGACATATTTCGTTATTTCTTCCAGGAGCTGAGGTGCTGGGATGAACCAGGAAATCACAGCGATCACATCTGCTGAGTCACCTCCAACAGGCCCGGTACTGTAACGTTATACATGTGTCTACACACACACAGAGGAGAGAAACGCCTCTCTGAGTGAACAACACTAACTCTCACACTTTCATCAGTCTCACACAAATAACTCACCGAGCCAGAGGCCCGCAGTGATCACGACGACTCCAATAATCAGAGCAGTTCCACGGTGACAGCGTATAGCCATGCTCCCAGCTGTGGCAGGATATCCAAAACTTCCTGTTCCTGGGTTGAACTTGTTGATATGTTCAGGAAAATAGGAAACAACAACACTACGTGAAGAAACGTCAGATTGAGGACAAAGTACATTAAAAACACAACTTAAATGGCAGCATTGTGACATTTGAATTCACTGCTGAACAAATATATGGACACAGAGTATGACAGAGACCTCCCATAGTGACACACAGATAATGTTTCATGTGTGCTTGAAAGCTGCAACCTCCAGGCTGATAAATGAAGCCAACACTAAGACCCAATCCCAATACACCCCTTGTTTCTGAAGAGCCGGTTCAAAGACTCGGCTCGTTCCTTTGTAGCAACGCCCTTTATAAACAACAAGCCTGTCAATACAAGCAACTGGCTTGTATATATACACTATATATATATATATATATATATATATATACATATATGTATACTAGATCAAATAATATGAAATTAAGGGATACAGAGTAAAATAAAGCAAAAAACAAAGAAATTAGGAACTTCAAAGAGCCGGTTCAAAGACTCAGCTCGTTCGCGAACGTCACATCACTACCCGTTGGCCCTCGAAATGAAGCAACGAGGGGTAGGGGTTGAAATCTTTCCCTAGGAATTGGGACACCACTCACTACGTCACCGCGTCGTTTACGTTCACGCATACGTAACTATTTTAAACAGGAAGCTGCGAGCCATCTACATTTCCAACCAGCATCTACAATGGAGTCTCCAGTTGAGTTCATCCTACCGATCACATTTGCTGAATTAATCATGCTTCGTTTGATGAACGACAGACAACAGAGGAATTCTGCTAGCTAGCTAACCAGCTAACATTACGAGGCAGCATAGTTATACTAGCTGGCGTGTTATCGTAATGTGAAAAGTCTGACAATTTTGCAGAACAGGACAGATAACAGGGGAACTGCCCATTGGTTCGACATCCCATTGTTCCGACCATATTAAACTCACTTTTCCGAAGTCCGTTCCGAAATCATCATGACGCCCTGTGGTTAAGGTCTGGTTAGGTTTAGGCACAAAAACCACTTGGTTAGGGTCAGAAAAAGATCATGGTGTGCGTTAAAATGAAAAAGAAAGTGGCAAACACATAAGCCGTGAGCCTGCTCTGCCTCAAGCCGGTCGCGGCGCACCATATGCCCGCCGTGAGCCGTTCAGCACCGCGGACAGTCGGACTAATGGGATGTCGAACCAATGACATGGACCCAGATGACAGACGCCAGATAGTGCGAGCTAGCTAGCTAGCTAACAAGCAACCTGACGATGGTAACGTTAGCTAGCTTGTTAGTCAACTCCAATCTAGACATCATGAATAGCAATAAAAAATTGTTATACCGTTCTCTACACAAATACACAGTTATTCGAAAACATTTTTACAAAAGTTCTATGTTTATTAGAGAAATTATACGTACATGTATGAACTTTTTTCCCCGTCTCTTGCTCGGTGGTAGCCATGACGACGTCTGAAATCCCTCGCTCCAAAGGGCTAGTTTCATACCCACTACCCCTCGTTATGCCCCCTACCCCTACTAGAGTTGTCACGATACAAAATCTTTGTTTCGGTACCAATACCAATATGAATTTCGATACTTTTCGATACTCTACGGCACTTTTCCTAAGGAAAAGTCCTTTTGGATACAAACCTTTAGAACAATAAATAGTAGGGGTGTAACGGTACCAAAAAAATCATGGTTCTGTAAGTACCTTGGTACAGGCATCACAGTTTGGTATCTCAAATGTTCCACCAAGTTTGTGTTGTCTCGTGTTGTCTCCCTTTGCGAGGCAGACTTTTTCTTGGCTTTTTTCATGTGCACCAGCTGCGAATGTTGACACAGGTGTTGTCATACACACCACTTGTGCAATCTGTGCTCCAGTAGGAACAAGAAAGGCGTTTGTGTGCATAAATGAGTAAAATAAATTAACTAAATTAATGAATTGAATCAATTTCAAAGTACCGGTATTTTCCAAATGCAGTATAGTACCGTTTGGAATACTCTAGTACCGCAGTACTATTTTAGTACCGGTATACCGTGCAACACTAACCCCTACACGCAAAAAAGAACTGGGACACCACTACCCCTCGCGGGAACACGCAAATGTAGGGGTAGGGCCAAGAAGTAGGGCTAAGGGGGGGTATTGGGACGGGCCCTAAATGTCCTCTAGTGTCCACTTGAAGAGCGAGTCAGTCCCCACAGATCAGGGATGCCCAACTTGCTTTGCCCAGGGGCCACTTTTGCAAAATGACAAGAGGTCAGGGGCACCACACATGGTGTTTTAGGATTTAAGGACATTTGGGGCTTAATTCTCACGTCCATCAGGGGATCCTTCTTTGGCCCTTTTTTTTTTTATACAAGCTTTATGTTGATGCTTTTTATGCACTCTGGCATCTTCAGCGTCTCTCACGCCACCGTGTGGTAACAGATTTACTGTGCTGAGCCGATAATGTTGCTGTGTGAACAGTTGTACAGCTCAGCGGAGATAAACTGGCCCTGTGATAACATTTGCACCAAACTTCAGATGACTGGTCCAAACATGTTGAAATCTTTGGTGACTTCAGTGATTCAGTGTCTTCCTACAGTATGCAGTTATTGACATGGCACCAAGCTAGCTCACACTTCTGTCGGTGACGTTCACTGAAGCAGCTGCTCATCCTCACAGCCCTGGACTGTAGCGGCAGCAGCTGCTTGTAGGAACGCTTTGCTTCTGTGGAACGCTCCTGCAGGTAGACGGTTGTCAGGGTTGATCCCGTGTGATGAGGTTTATGTCCTTGTGAATTAGAAAATGGTTAAACATCACTGCCACAGACCTCCATGTGAAAATGTCCGACTGTACAGGGGCTGAATTTATATATAACTGACCTGTTTACATTTAGTTAAGGTTTAAAGTTAGACATAATGAAGGCCGGGCTGCTGTAAGTGACAGACTGTCTGCTGATAGTGTCCTCGCTCCTCCACAGCTCCACCCTCTCCCCAGATATGGTCATGACTGGCTCCAGAAAAACAAGATGGTGACGGCTAAAATGGCTAACTCGAGGCTTCAAAACAGAACCCACAAACCAGTGGGTGCAACAGGACAGCTACCTCCATTATTTATACAGTCTATGTGTGTGTGTTGTTAATGTGTCTCTGGCTGCACAGTTTAATCACCACAGCGCTCTGCTGAGTGATAGCATGCAGTCATACTGTGTCTCTTTCCGACCACATTACAGTGGTTCAAACAGAGAGAAACTTTCACACATGCAGCTACAACATCACCCCCTGTTCACTTCCTCCCACCTGCAGAGACACTCAGTCTGTTTCTGCAGAAGTGAAACACCATTTATGAAAGTTTAAAGATAACAATCAGTCATCTTACTGTGAAACTCAAATCAAAGTCTGATCAAAAGAGCCGTTTAACCTCAGTTTAAAAAAGCACCAAACCACAAACACATCCTGCAGAGTTTGTCTGACTGTCAGTGAACGCATCATGCAGGTAATGATATTAGATTCTGGTGTCTGTTGTTATTTTGATTTTGTTTCTGTCTCTTTTCTCTTCATGTTTTGGTTCAGTGTCTTTTTCTAAAAATGAATTTATGTGTTTTATTTGGACTGAACAAACAAAGAGTGTGTGAAGAGGAAACCACAACACTGCCAGCCACTCTCACAGAGGAAGGAGGGGGCTTTGAGCTGATCACACCTCTCATCAACACGTAGATCTCACTTCACCAAGTGACAGGATGGAGGAAACCTCTCTGCTGCTGCTGCTCTGTAAGTATCATCTGTCTGAGCTACATTTTACCAGTAATGACAAGAACACTGTGATCTAACTGAACATCATGTCAGTTACAGTTGTCAAAACAGTTGTAAAATGCATTAAATGTAGTATCCTGTGTTTTTGGAGTTTGACCCATGAACTGACTTTACTTATTTATTTATTTTTTTTAAAGATAATTGGATTTTCTCAGATGTCTTGTTACATGCGCACACACACACACACACACACACACACACATCAAACTAACCTGAGTGTTCTTTGTCTTCAGGTCTGACCTCACTGCTGAGCTGCACAACAAACCAAGGTCAGTAAATTTCTTCTGTCACATCATGACTGACACTTTCTGGGAAAATGAAACTTTCAAGTTTAAGATTTGTAATTTCCTTAGAATATTTTTTCTTGTCAATAAATCTCAGGTTCCGACTCAAAGCAACATGAATGTTTCTCGTAACACGTATAGTGTGTGTATCTGCAGCCTAACATATCCTCCTCCTCTGTGCTGTAGTCAGTGAGCCACTGTGTGTCACTGGGTGACGTGTTCCTTCATTACCATGAACTCACTCGCTGTAGTTTAATTCTTGTCTCCACCAAACCCTTTCACTCCAGTCCCTTTGGAACCAACAGTACCCCCTCCAGTGTTGCCAGGTGAGAAATGTAGGATTATCGTACCAGAGACTCAAAATGATCGTATTTTGAGGGAAATTATCGTGCATCCGTCATAACCAAATTAACAATTCTACTGATGCGCTATAGGCAAATATAGTCACTCTAGTGTTTACTTTTTTTTTCCAATTTCCTTGCTTCTGTTTTTCCTCTTCTTCTTCTTCTGTTTTGAATCTCATTCTCACTCGACTTCCTGACAGGTCCTAGCACCTCGTGGGGCGGGTACAGCTGACCATTCAGCCAATCGTGCTCATTTTTCAGAGACAAACGTCACCCGTATCTCACGCTAAGCAAAGTGCGATTGGCTGGAAACATGTCACATGGGAACAGATGCCTTCAGGGCTCACAAAAAACTCCGGCATACTGAATACAACCACACATTCATTAAATGGTCAAATTTTCGTACATTTGTCCTTTTTTAGGATCATTGATCGTACATCGTACAGAGGGCCAAATTATCATACAAATACGATAATTATCGTACACCTGGCAACGCTGAACCCTTCAGACATGGTACCTAGACCCTCAGTATGTTCAGACAGTAATCTTAAATGTGGGCGGGGTTGTTGTCACTCACTGCTCCGTCCAGCACTCGCTGTATTTCCTCATCAGCGGTGACACAGATGGAAGTCTGCACCTGGTTTATCGTCCACAGAACGAGGCTGCACGCCCACATTTTCACAACAAAATAGAACAATTCACATAATCCGCTCCAAATTAATCTATATTTTTAAAGTCATTACTAAAAGTGTGTGTCATATAAAAACTAAAGTGATGGTCAAAGTTGTCACAGTGAAATTTAAGGTGTGCTGATGGATTCACGTCATCAACTCATGCATTGAGTAACATTACAAGTTAACGTTCCACCTTAAAAGTTGCCGGCAGTCGGCCCAGTGAATGAAGTGATTTTTTTTCTCTTTCATTTTATAGTTGTAGTTTACTGATGTATGAACAGAGGTTACATAAAACCAGACACAACTCAGCCATGTTTTGTGAAGTCACACTGACCTTTGACCTTTCACCACAAATTTCTAATCAGTTTATTCTTCAGTCCAAGTGGACGTTTGTGCCAAATTTGAAGGAACTTTCTTATGGTGTTCTTTAGATATCACATTCACAAGAATGGGACAGACATAGGGACAATCCCAAAACATCATACTTCTGGCCACAGCTATCGCTGGTGCAGAGGCATAAAAATGTCCCCTTGAATCTATATATAGAAAATGTAATTTATGAATACAACAGGCAATTGACTTTTGTAAAAAAAAAAATCCCCAAACATTGACATGTTTCCTTACACCTGGACCTGGATGTTGTGCCATGTCTCCTTTGGTCTTTCTGCTGTTACTTGTGTCATTCAGCACCATGATAGAATGACTATCCCACATTCACATAAATATTTTTTTGTTGAGCGTCATGTAAGCTTAAGTCAGGACAGGCTTTTGACAATTACCTAACGACAGTGACTCCCGTGTGCGCATGGCAAGAGAGGAGAGGGAGAGATGCTGTGCTGCTGCCAGAGGAGCCGCTGAATGAGTTCCCTCTGAGCACTAAGTCAATAAAAGATTCTGAGAAGTAAAACATTCCTGACGCCACAGTTTATTCCACACTACTGAAGCTGAGCCAGTAACAGTTTGCTTTCGGCCAAGCTTCTTGTTGCTGTGTGCAACAGTATGACATCATCATGTCAACAAGTCAGTTGCCAAAAATCACAATATGAATTTTTCTTTATTTCATTTTTTCTCATTCGGTATTGTCATAAACACTTTGATATGGCACACCCCTAATGAATGGGCTGGAAAACAGGTGAGTAAACAGGAAAACGCTGCATGAAGGTCAGTGAGAATGTTCCAGTGGTTACTTATTTTTAAATCCCTTACTTATTCAGTCTCTCTTTCAAACGCAGAGCAGACTCATTTGGATCATGTTTGAGCTCTGCTTCCACAGAGTCGGACGGTATTTTGTTGGGAAATGCAAGAAGATTTAGGGAGAAAGCTTGATGTTCCCCAGGAAATAGTCTGTACCAAGCAGAGGCCTGACATAGTGTTGTGGTCAGTGAGTCAACGGATAGCTTATTTCATTGAGCTGACAGTTCCTTGGGAAGACTCAGTGGAAGAAGCCTATGAAAGAAAAAAGCTTAGATATGCAGACTTAGGAGCAGAAGCTGAGCAGCGAGGATGGAAGACTAGGATTTGTCCAGTGGAAGTGGGGTGTAGGGGATTCATAGCAAGAACAGCTGCAGTTTGAGGAAGACAGTGAAGGAAATATCAGATGACGCAGCCAGAGCTAGTCAGCGGATTTGGATGAGGAGGAATAATGTCAGTTGGGGGCCAGCAGGGGGAACTACTAAGCAGGGTACATAATTCCTTGAGATCAGGTGGAGAGATCCACTTCCTGTCAGGAGGAAATCCAGGAAGAGGAAGTATTTAAGTGTGGGAGTGGCCTATTTGAATCCATTTTGTTTGAGGCCATGCTGCAAGGTGAGTGTGTTTGCTGATTCTGTGAGTTTATTTATCTCCTTTAACTTTAGCTTATATTGGAGTTATGCTATGTAGCGTGTGAAATAGGGTATGGTGAATGTGCTAGGAAAGGTAGTATCGGCACTGTCTCTACCTGGAGCTCGCATGTACGGAGCCTGGGTTTGGTTGAAGGTGGCAGTGCTGTTTGGGCTGAGAAAGCCATGTGTAAGTAAGGTAAAGGAGGTTATTGGGTTGGTGCAGGGAGGGGAGCAGTGAGACCTGGCATTAGGGGAGTGTCTCTGGGACGCCAGAGATCACTTTCTAGCCTCCTGGAGGTGTCGTGGGACCAACTAGACGAAACACTGGTGAAAGGAGGTTCCCACCCGATGACCCCAAAGACATGTTAGTTATCACTGCTCACGGGTCTGTATAGATAAGCCTTGCCATATTAGCTTATCATAGGGCTTAGGAGGTTATTCACTGAGTGCTGATCCTTTCTCTAGAGCACAAACTTCTTGTGTTTATTGCATCTTGTGGGTTAACAGGCTAAAGTTAACGCATTCTCACAGGTGTTGTGTTTCCATCAATGATTTTATGTACGAGGGTTTTTTACCTGGAAGTTCTTGAAAACAAACGTGATTCGGTCTATGATAAAAATTCAGTGCTACGTGAATTAAACAATGCAATGATAGTATAATAGAGACAGAGTCCAGGATCTCCTTCAAGGTCACCAGAGAATTCAGTTAACGGAGGAAAACCTCGAGCTGGTGAGGCAGCGGTCAGTGGTTGTAAAATGTTTCTAGAGCTTAAGAGACGTATTAATGATGATTTAGTTTAACTAAAGACAGATACATGTCACCATCTGCAGCTCATCTGACTGTGAGTCCCAGCAGCTCTCAGCTGTTTGAAGATGAGTTTATCTCTCTGAACTGTGAGGAGGACGACAGCTCTGCTGGATGGACTCTGAGGAGGAACACAACTAGACGGAAGATGTCTCAGTGCGGAGCTGGATGGGGAAGATCAGCTGGTTCGTCCTGTATCATCAGTGTAGCAGTCCCATGGGACAGTGGAGTTTACTGGTGTGAGTCCAGAGAGGGAGCAACCAGTAAGAGCATCAACATCAGTGTCACTGGTAAGATCAGACTGTGGAGTCAGTGTTGATGAAGCTGTGTGTAAATGGATGAAATGCTGTAGTTTGTCTCTGTGTTGAGGTGGATCAGTGATCCTGCAGAGTCCTGTCCTCCCTGTGATGGAGGGACATGATGTCACTCTGCACTGTAAAACAAAGACGTCCTCCAACCTCCCAGCTGCTTTCTATAAAGATGGCTCCTTCATCAGGACTGAGCCTGCAGGTCACATGACCATCCGCCATGTAACCAGGTCTGATGAAGGCCTCTACAAGTGTGACATCACAGGTCATGGAGAGTCTCCACCCAGCTGGCTCACTGTCACAGGTCAGGAGGTTACCTTTGATTTCAGAAGTTCATTCATCCAGATATTCACCTGACCAGGTGGGATTCTCTCTACAGGTACACCTACAACCACAGCTCCACCTCCTACATTGACCCCGCCCACATCTGCAGCCATGACCTTTGACGTAGCCCCGCCCACATCTGCAGCCCCGCCCCCTGACTCAGGCCACCTCCACCTTGTGTTCACAGTGCTCTATTACCTGGTGGTGTTCTGTCCGTACTTCATCTCCACTTTCATCATGGTGTCTTTATATCGACAACCGCCCACAGGTATCAATCAATCAATCAATCAGTCAATCAATCAATCAGTCAATCAATTAGTTAATCAGTATTGCATATCTCTGTGACAATCATCTAATGTTGATTGTTGTTATTTATCGTTGTCTCTTCTTTTAATATTGTTTATCCCCTCTGACAGGTAATGGCCTACCCGTCTCCATGGCAACGGCACCATCCAACCAAGCTGAGCAGAGATTGGCTGAGGACTATGATGACATAGCGGCGGTCAGCACGGTGCATCACATCTGAGCTGAACAGAGGAGAGACAGAGTTTCCTGTTCCATCAGTGCGATGATTCAAACATCCGTCTGTGTCACTCTGAATATTGTCAATAAAGCTTGGTGTGTTTGTTTTGGTAGTTCCGCCTGATGTGTGTGTGTGTGTGTGTGTGTGTGTGTTTTCTGGAGATGAGTCAGATGGAAAGTCCTGGAGTTTGTTGTGGTTTGGTTGTGGTGAACAGAGTGAGACATCCTCTGCCTATCTCTGTGTCTCTGCAGACAAACAGGTGACAGCAGCTGCCTTTAATCAAAGGTTCCCGAGACGCCAGGTCAGGTGGTGCATTAGAGCGACTCAAAGAATAATAGGAAATTAGAAGAGCTTGCTGGAAATGACTCTAACAGGGAATATCTTGAAATTTGGCACAAACGTCCACTTTGATACATTCAGGATGAACTGGTCAGCATTTGGTAATCAAAGGTCACTGTGACCTTGAGTCCATCTTATTCTCATGAATATCATACCCCAAGAAGGCCTTCAGGGAACTGTCTAAAATTTGGCACAAACATTCACTTGGACTCAAGAATGAACTGATTAGAATTTGGTGTTCAGAGGTCAAAGGTCACTGTGACATGTTTTTGTCCATAACTGAAGAATTCCTTCACTAATTCTGACAAAACTTGACACAAGTGTCTAACAGGATAAAATAATGAAGGTCAAAAGGTCAAAGGTCAGCTTGACTGTGACATCATCATGTTTTAACGTCATATCTCAGGAACAGAAGGGGAGACATTTGGTCAGATACTGAAGTGGTGACTGCAAACTGTCTGTTATTGATGTCACTCCGTACATTACATTAGTGATCAGTATTTATCCCCCACCTAACACACACACACACACACTGATGTCATCTGATGTGACTGCACCATCAGAGACCAGATGTGATCCCAGAGTCCTCCTGTGTTCAGTGTGGTTCAGTGTTTGAGCTCCACCTGCTGGTGTTCATCACCACCTACCCTGATGTTTCCTCCATCGTTCAGATTCACTTCTTCAACATCAGTGAGCTCAGCTGTCCACTCTACAGAGTCACAGGTCTCAGGTCATCTGTCACACTGTGTCTGTGAGTGGCAGTCCTGTTAGAGACAGGGGACCTGTTAGAAACTAACACAAGTGACCAGCTGCAGGAGAGAAACCACACAGCCACTCAGTGTAACAAGTAATCCATCCATTAGTAACAAGTAACCCATCCATTAGTAACAAGTAACCCATCCATTAATAACAAGTAACCCATCCATTAGTAACAAGTAACCCATCCATTAGTAACAAGTAACCCATCCATTAGTAACAAGTAACCCATCCATTAGTAACAAGTAACCCATCCATTAGTAACAAGTAACCCATCCATTAGTAACAAGTAACCCATCCATTAGTAACAAGTAACCCATCCATTAGTAACAAGTAACCCATCCATTAGTAACAAGTAACCCATCCATTAGTAACAAGTAACCCATCCATTAGTAACAAGTAACCCATCCATTAGTAACAAGTAACCCATCCATTAGTAACAAGTAACCCATCCATTAGTAACAAGTAACCCATCCATTAGTAACAAGTAACCCATCCATTAGTAACAAGTAACCCATCCATTAGTAACAAGTAATCCATCCATTCCCATAGATGATAAACGACTGTAAAAGCACCGATAAAACAATAAAAACTTACAGAAAGACACCAAACGACCACTTCTGTGCACTGAGGAGGACGATGTGTTCTGTTAGAGTATATTTAGTTTTACCCTCATTTCTCGCAGGTTCAAATTAATGATCGCAGACTTTATATTATATATTCGTAAAATTTGGGTCACAAATTCATTAAAATCTGTGTTAATGAGCACTTGTCTTTTTCCAAGATAATTCATCCACCTGACAGGTGTGGCTGATTAAACAGCATCTTCACTACACAGGTGTGTCGGGATGGTCACAACTAAAGACCACTCCTCACATTAAATCACATTATTTGATGATTGCAATTTGAATTGTTTTAATGTTAAGATCCCCACATTATTTCTTAAAAGCTTTGTGTCAAGTAGAAGACAGTAGAAATCTCACCTGATCTTAAGGTTAAGCAGAGCTATGTTGGTCTTCTATTTTGCCAGTAGATGGCGTTAGAGGCTTTGCTGTGTTAGCGACTGATGAGAGATGATTTTCTCACTTTGGTTTCTCGTGTAGCTCGGCAGTGAGTTCAGAACTGAAGAGAACTGACACATTTTGAGCTTTAATAACTTTAATTTTGCACATCTGTGCTGTCATATTTGACTAAAGTGTGAAATACATCTTGATGTTGATATCTTTAGTGTTGTGTCACTTTCTGTCTTCATTCCATTAAATTAAATGATGTGGCTTATTACCCTGTTACCTTGTCACTTCCATTCCATTTTGTGTACTAATAACTTGCTAACAGGAAGTGTTTTACTGAATTTTTCATGTTCAGTGTCATCATTTTGCACTTGGTTATCTGGCTACTGACCCTGTAGATGCTCGAGGGTCATTCTGTGTCAACTCAACTAGAGTTTGGCAACTAAAACTTTAGACATTGATAGTATATCATTTTAAAGAACTAAAGTCGGTCCCCTGATGCTGTACTGTGTACATACATGGTGCTATTCAATTCTGTATATTAAGACTTCCTCCCTTCTGTCTTTATGTATCTTTGTTACAACTGATTTTTGTATTTTGTAATGTGTAATGTTTTGTAATGCCCCCTTTTGGTTTGTCGGTGCATTCATTCCCTCTCAGCTCCTCATGTGCTGGCATCCAACAAAACTGTAACCTACATATACATCACCTCTGTGAAGTCTTAGGAAGCTATAAAAAAGTTAAATGAGTAAATCTTCTCTGATAGTGGGGCGGCATAGCTGTAGGATCATTCATTTTTGTGATAAAAGCACCAAATTTGTCAGATGTGTTGACAAATATATTTAGAACAAATCTGGATATTGGGGCATCAGAAACTCGCCCCCTGGTGGCCAGAGCAGGCAATTGAATCCTACCTGCCCATGGACCCGTCGTTAATTGGATCCACTCCAAAATGTGATAGCTTCTGAGTTGGACCATGCTACATGCCTCCACCAAGTTTTGTGAAAATTGGTTGGAAAGTTTTCAGGTAATCCTCATCCAAAAAATAAATGGAAGTGAATGGGCAGCCACATGTGGGCGGCCGTGGACACGCCCCCTGAGTTGGATCAACACCAAAATTGAATGTATTCTAAGTTGGCATGTGCTACATCCCTCCACCGAATTTTGTGAAAATTTTGTATAATTCTGCTACCAAACTAATAAATTGGGCAGCATAGCTAAAACATTGTTCATTTTTGCGATAAAAGCGCCAAATTTGGTTCATTTATAGCTTAATATAGTGGAATACAACACTTTGGTCGTTTGTGCCAAATATAACGCTCTTAAGCCTCCCGTGAAAGAAAAACGCGTTTCCCAGATCGCTCTTAGCTTAAGAAGATCTTTCACTAAGAAGGAGTTGTGGGATCGAGCTGACCCACTCTTAACAGTCTTCTTAGCGACCAAACGCTCACAGATCCAGCCGCAGCAGGCACATTAATATTACACAAAGCAGACGTTAAAACAGTGCGCAGCGTATATATTTTGATCTATTTCATACTTCAGATTTATATTGTTTAGCATTAACTGGTGACAGAAAAGAACAAATTTCATTCTGCAGGGAAACACGTGTCCTTACTGTGCATATTGAATCCTGAATCTATATGTTTTATGAAGAGCCTGTGTGCTCAAAGCTGTGGCACAAGTTACACACCGAAATCTGGCGGAAGAAAAATATTAATAAGAAAAATAAGTATGAGGAATAACAAGTGTGTTCCTGTATGTGCTGTGCACATCAGGCTGGATGAGGCACGTGCGTCATGCTTGAGGCGCACATTACGCACACTTTACAATGTTACAACTTAATTTAGCAGACGCTTTTATCCAAAGCGACGTACATCTGAGTGTTAATACAACAAAAGCAAGATCTAGTTAGAAGAAAACATCATGATTAAGTGCCCAAAAGCAAAGTTTGAGTCCAACAGGACGTAGGTGCCAACAGGCAGTGCACAAAGGCAATGAGGTTTATTTATTATAATGTAAAACATCTGCAGTCTGTTCAGTCAAGTGCAAAAGTGTTGGCTTTACATATGTCATGAGCATGGACATGAGTGGGACCATCTGTGTGTAGATTTGACACCCTTACTTTACAATGTGCAATGATTCACACAACACATGGTTGAAAAGGAAACCAAGTTTATTCAAACATAAGATAGCCTAAAGCGGTGGGACCCCTCCCGTCACATGGGTTCTGCATCACCTGCAATGAAGGGAGGTTGTGCAGGTGCAGGTGATAATAGAGGGCCGCCGGGTGAGGCCACCCTGCATGCGGACGCCGGGCCTTGCTGGTGTGGGTTGGTGCACGGGGACAGGCCTTGAGCTTGAAACTCCTGCTACTTCTTTCTCACCACCACCCAGTCTCGCAGGCCGCAGGGGCTTGAGGCAGCCATTTTTTCAGCGATGGCGTGCCAAATGCGGTTCTTGGCCACTAAATTTTTTTCCCCTTTTGTTCCGCCGAAGAGTGTGTCCCGCTGCTGCCATACCTCATCCACCAGGATGGTCATCTCCTCTGGGGTGAATGCAGGTGACCGCTTGGCCTGCTTGCGCCCTGCTTCTGACATTCTGTCTTAATGTGTGCACCTATACCCACAGGTCATTTTGTATCTGCGTAAACGGATGTAATTGCTACTTGGATACACCTGTTATCTGTAATTACACACAAGCAGCAGGGAATTAGTGCGTTAGGTAGCAGCGCTATGTGTGACTTACGCGCTGATGAAGTGGTGGGTGATCGATGTGCCTGACATCGATTGATTTAGTTTCAGCACCGCGGTAGTGGTTAGCTCCTGTTAAGAGCGAAACACAGCCAATGTCTGTATGACCTTGACAGCCAAGCAAGTGGGTATAACTGCAGCAGGAGCAGCTACATGACCCGCCCCCCCATCCCTACACGTCAATTCACGATCAGCTCCCTTGGCTCCTTGGCCCGGAGGCAGATGTCTCAACGAAACTGCCAAGCTGGTGATTAGCAAGCGATGAAATATTACATTAAAAGAGAGGTGGTTAAGGTGAGGGTAAGAATAATGGGAAAGATTACATCTCGTTATCCATCACAAAGTGAATCATGTCTTCATGTATTTTGACTTATAAAGTGGATCATTGCTACATTTGGGTAGCCGTTGGGTTGGTGGCTTTGTCTTGTACTAGTAGTCGGGGTGGTTTTTAGCGGTGTGTTGTGTACGCTACAAACGAAATGTGTCTGCAGCTATATACATCTCCAGCCGAGGGCAGGGGGAGGTCAGTGCTGCCGGTACTGCAGAACCCCGTATTTACAAGGGGTGGAACAACACAGTCTGTAAATGGCTATTTTATTTTTTTATGATGTGAATGAATTCCTCCTGCATGTATACAGTCAATCAGACCCAAACTGGCAGAGGCGCACTTAGGAGTGGGTACTTTTACTCTCCTGGAGATTCATTTCCTGGCAGGACAAAGACAGTGACTGTGACACATCATAAAACTCCTGTCCTTTCCTAAAGTTGTTATTCAGCGCACAAGCTCTTGTTTACACAACAAACTGGAGTCATGTGACAATAAACAATGATAAAATATGGTGAGCTCACTCCTCTTCACCGTCTCTCTGGGTGCAGCGGCAGCATTAACCCTTCCTCCTCCCTCTCATGAACACTCAGCCTGTAACTCGATTATAAGACTGTTTTAAATTCCAAATATGAAGGCTGAGTTTACCATGAAAACTGAGCTGAGCAGGAGAGTCAAACTCTGACTGTGTGTTTACTGTAACAAAGACACACCCTGTTGGTCTCCATTTTAGTTCCTGTTTAACGAGCTCGCTGGCTGTGAGCCAAGTTACACTGAACCAACAGACCTCATTTCTCTGGAATGGCTGACATGAAACGAAACTTACACAACATTGTGTTTTAGGAGTTTTCCCAGCGTGTTGAAGACAAAGTGAGACACAGACTCATGAAGCAGGAAGAGATGAGTAACAACAGCATCTTTACTGAGCAGTTAAACACACACAGCACTTTGACACTTTAGTCCTCAAACATTTCTTTGAGTTGTTCACAGACAGCAAGCTATGTGTGTGTTTCTTGCTGTAACTTGTGTGTGTGTTCACAAACTTCATCCTAAAATCATGCAGTTAACCCCTTCATCATTCAGTCTCCTCCTCATCCTCACTAAACACAGTTTGAATCAGCTCTCAGATCAGATTAGTCTCTTCATCATGATGATGACTCCACGCAGCTGTGTCTGACTGGGTGTGTTGTTTAACATATTTGTCTTGTGGTTGAAACACAGTGTAACCTGGGTGTGTGTTGAATCTGATCAGTTCAAATGTTTCTGTGTGACGTTCAGTGGACCTGCTGTCTCTCTTCTTCTGTGGTCAAGCTTACAAATAACAACCAAAAGAGGCAAAGCCTCAAAGTATGTTTGTTGCTCCTGTGTAGGAGAGTTATTATGGCCCACTGTTTTATAATCCACTCCTGATTTTCCTGTGAACTTCCTGTTTGTATTTCCTGTGAGTTCAGCCCCTCACAGTGAAACTGAGGCTGCGTCCCAAGTCTCTTATTTTATACTGCTAACTCCTAACTCCTTACTTGAACCGGAAGTCGTTCGGGGTCCGCCATCTTTAAGGCCGTCTCATGTCTCTTATTCCTGCCAGTAAGGAGTTAGCGTTAGGAGTTAGGAGGGATCTGTTAGGTGCGATGAGTAAGATAACACGAGAGCTTCCTAACAGGAAGTCTTTTTCAGCTTGAAGCTCTGACGTATAAATACCCGCCCCCTTCGTCTGTCTCATTTGAACGAGATGGCGGAGAAACAGCGCAAGTGTACCCGTTACATGCATTCTTTGCAATGACACGCTGTAATTCACATGCCTACGTGACTACAAAGAGTAACGTTGATGATATTTCCTGCAAGACTGTCATGTTGTAATTAAGTTTATTTCATTCACAATCCGTTGCGTTGTTCAGCGGACTGTCTGTGATGTGTGGCTGTTAAATGTGCAGCTGCTCATGTCCAGAACCACACGTGTTGATATAACACCACGCACACACACACACACACACACACACAAACACACACACACATTATTAATATTAATATTAATATTAATAGTTAATATTAATAATTACAGCTTTGATCAGCAAATATAATGTGACTTGGGATGTACGCCAAATGCTGGCTCCGTTATGCAGCAGATCCAGCTGTGCCGCCCATAGGTGCCGCCGTCACCAGAATAGGACGTCGCTTTGCATGAAGCTTCAGAGTAAGGCTGTCTCATGTCTCTTATCAGCAATCCTTGCTCCTCACTCCTAACTCCTGACTCCTTAAATGTTTTCCTAAGTGGGAGGGACTAAACAGTTAGGTAAGGTGGCTAGATAAGGTGGTTAGCAGTAATTTTAAGAGACTTGGGATGCAGCCACAGAGAGTGTGCTACGTTGTTCCCACCTGTGTGATGTCACTCTGTGAGCCTGCTACACCGGAACAGGAAGATAATCCAGCAGGAGCATGTCAGTCTCAATCAGCGCACACCTGTTGGTGACGTTACGTCACAAGTGTGTTTGATTTGTGTCACTTTAGTGTGTCTGATGGGAGGTGCATTAAACACTGAGACAGACAGCAGGGGGCAGCACAGCAGCTTCACTTTGGTCTAGAGGGGATCAGTTTCACTGTTAAGAGTTTTCTTTGTTTTTTAAATTGTAATGTGACATCTGAACACAGGTTACAGTATTACTCTAAGTGAGCTGAACTGCAAAGCAGAGAGAAATAATAATGAAGTATAAAAACAAAAATGAAAAACACAATACCAGTGGTCATTCAGGCATGAAGCTACGCAGGTCATTTTTATTTCAGTGATGTCATTTAGAAATGCAGTTGGATACCAGTCTTTATGTTTTCATGATCAGGACCCTGTGTGGAGTTTCACTGGAAAGGGTTCGACTCACAGGAGAAAATACCAACAGGAAGTCTGATCTGAACCACAGAAGAAGAGAGACAACAGAGGCCTGAACTCTGAAGCCAGTTCAACTCACCAAGGACATCTTCTTATCTCTGGTTTGACTAACAATCGTATTAAAGCTGAGCAGTCACAGGATGGTCAAATCAGCCCAGGGTGTCCCAATCTAGTCATAAGCGTGTTCACATAAAAGGGGCGGTGTTTGCAGCATGGCGCCAATCGCAGCCACGGAAAAGTCCCACAGAGCAGCGTACTTTACAGGTGAAGAGCAGATGATCATCCTGAACAAATATGAAGAACACAAGCATATCATACAGGCCAAAGGCAACACGGCAGCAGCTGCCAAAAGTCGGAAAGATGGCTGACAAAAAAACTTTTTTGAGAATGTTTGCACTTGTAATAAGGTTTGGGGCACCACCCTCCTAATGAGGGAAGCGACTAATCAAATTAATAACGCTGTAAACCAATTATTAATTCGTCAGCACACTTATCAATAATGAATCAATCTCAGTATCTGGGTTATGAATTCTCCATACAGTGAACTTAATTCGTGCTGTTAAGAAATATCCGCAGACAACGACTTGGCAATAAATGGAAATGTATTTAAGCTAAATGGGCAACAACTGAATAAATGAATGAGGATAATATGAAATAACACAAAATCAACAGTATGTATAAATGGATTAAACAAGAAGTAACACTTGTGTGAGTTATTTAATTTGGCGATAGTATGTTAAGATAACTCAACATCAGCTCTTACCACTGCCCAGCGGGTCACTTGTGAGGGGAATTCATTGCCTCCCTTCTTAGCAGCGAATCATGCAGACGTTTCTCCTGGGGCCCTGAACTGTCACTTTGCAACTCCCGGACTTTTCAGCAGAATGAAATCAGCTGGCGCACTGTGGAGGGGGGAGCGGTTGATCCTGTGAAGTCTTGTGGGTGCCCCAACATCGGTTTCCTTACGCTGCAAAAAGCCTTTGGCACGAGAACCACTGTGGCAAGTGGCTGGCAGCCGCTGGGTTTGATGACTCTTTGAGTGAAGAAGCAGGTCGAAAAGGGCACTTGTCTACTTTGTTATAATTACTCGCTTATAATAATGGTGAAGACAATATAATTGGCCGTTTAGTATTGTTATCAAAGTTATTATTCACGCACATAAAAATGTTGAAAACACTGGAGATAAAAGAAAACTGGATAAGCAAAACTTAAAAGTTTAAAATAACTTTGATCATGAGAGTATAAAAGCGTAACTAAAACGTAAATACGAAAGAGGCTAAGATACAAAAAAGAAGAAACAAAAAATACAAAAAACAAGAAGAAAAGCACAAGAGAGCGAGACAAGAGAGAGGAAACAAGAGAGCCAGCGCACCAGATCGCACACATGTTTTTAACCAGCCAAAGTGGACAGATCTGATAGGCGGTCTTCTTTGTTGCAAAATAGGCTTATTACTTGATTTCAAAAGAAACTTAATGCTTTTTATTATACGAGATCATATACTTTGACATGTTACATGCGATAGACACATACTCTTCTCACCCAATTAAAATGATTACAATTATTATACCACGTGTATTAGCAAAGCACAGTACAGCCTAATTCAAATACACACACTGTAGACTAACCTATAGTTGCAATCTATAAAGAAAAACAAAATGAGGAAGCACATATTCATGAAAACAGGTTGATTAACGAATCCAACTATATTTCTACAACTCCAAACACACAACATGGATAAAATGTATAATCTCACTTCCAACAGACATTTCAATTCTGTCACACAGAAACATTTGGTAAGAGAGGGGAGGGCGTGATTTCCCCGGGGCAATGTGAATGGTCAGGATGTGGCCGAGCAAAGAAGCATTGTCTCATGACAACTAGTGGGTCGTTCATCACCGCGTTTTGCACCAGGGCTGGATACTTTAAGACGGCATCTGAAACTTGATCCCAAGTGACTTTTTACCTCCTTTTGGCCTAAGGATGGCTGAAAGAAGTTTTTGTCCAGTCGGGGGTAATACAGGGGTGAGTCCTAAACATTTGATCCCCGGTGGTCTGGTGGGTCTTGTTCATTGATAATACTGGTTCAAGGGAAGTCCAGAGAGGCTGTTCCTCTACATGTGTGAATGTGTAAGGTTTATGTATCTTATACCTTATGTACAGTATATTGTGTGCTATACAGTATCATTACCTTATTTATGACATACGAGGATCTGTCTGTAATCTGCTTGTTCCATTAAACTGATGTGATGCTTTGATGGTGTTTATGACAATTTTAACCTCATTCTCTCAGTTCTAACCCCGGCAGTGCAAAACACACACGAGAGCAAATTAAAAACAAATTAAAAAACATAATTCGAAGCGATAAGAAGACTTATTTTCATGTTCACACACACACAGACAGTTACAGCAAGAAACGCACACAGGGCTTCACACACACATTTAAAAATTAGTTATGTACGCAGGTTTTTCTGTTAATCATGCAGATTAACAGACAGACATAATTAAAGCTTCTTGGTCTCTTTGTTCGGTGTCACTCTGCTCACAGCCAGCAGGAACTCATCAGACAGGAAATAAAACTGATGACCACAACATGTGTCTTTGTTACAGAGCTCAGGGTAAATATTTATTTGCCTTGACAGTCTGATCCTCCAGTTACAGGCTGAACGTTGCAGTGTGATTCTCAGAGAGAGAGTCCTCCCTCCTGTGGGAAAAACCCAACGGACAGGAAGAGACAACACTCTGTTTTATTTACTTAAACACTGTGTTCACTTTTCGTGCCACCCTCTCTTTGAATCCCACCACATGTCAGAGGGGAATATTTTACTGCGCCACATTTATGTCACTGTGAAGGCGTCACTTTGGGCTCCGGCTCACTGTGATGAACATTTGTTACTGTTTTTACAAACCAATCAATCGATGGATCAATGGAGACGATAATCAGCAGAGTCGAGTCTCTGACTGTGGGTCACATCTGCTGTCTGCTGTCAGCAGCTTCAGTTTTATCACACATGAAGACTTTATAACATATAACACAGATTTGTCCGCCATCAACCAAATTCAAAGTCTGAGTCTTCAAACTGAAATCATGTCCCTGAAGGCATCATCAGATAAAACCTGTCGGGTCACTTTTTCAGCAGCTGAGCCAGTACAGACACAACAGTCAGCACGTGACACTATCAACTATTAAAGAGTGAATGCTAATAAGAATCCACCGTCATCTCAGGTAACATGACAGCTACACAGCTCATCCCTCCCTCCCTGCAGACAGGGACTGCCTCTCAGGGATACACTTTCATGGGGACCGTTTTCTCCAAGCTAATGGCAAATGTAGCCAGGAGTCAAGCCACATAAACATATGCTAGGCTGCCCGGACAGGTCCACTTTTGAAGTCCTGTCCGGGGGCTGTTTATAAATTGATGATAATGTCCGGTTTTCCTTGTGTGTGTGCGTAACACACGGCACAACGCGGCACACGGCACAATGGATATTTCTGTCCGAACCTGTTTTGTTATGTCCAAACCCGAACCGAGCCCGACATTATTTAATGACACTGAGCACTGAGTTTGTGTCACACAGTTGTCATGGTTACAGGCTATTGAACAGGCCGGGCATGCTCAGCGGAGAGGGAGACCTCCATGTTTGAGACGGGAGCGGGAGGCGGGAGGTCCGACGCTTCTAGCGAGAGGAGAGGGAGAAACAAACAGCCAGTGTGTGTGTGTGTGTGTTATGTTCAGGTGTTGTCACGTAAATAACAGTGCCCAAGCAATAAACAGGACAGACAATAGGATTTTATTTATTTTTACACTACATTTTCACTGAAATCTGACCGAATCCGACCCGAGTCCGAATACAATTTATAGCTACATTTTTGACCAAACCCAGCCGACCTGTCGGGTACCGTCGGGCTCAGATCGCCACACTCTAGTGTGTGTATGTGTCCCCTATTGGGGCCTATCTGAATTTCTGTCTTTGAGAGACATTATTTTGTAATATAGCTGAATTTTCTATCCATACATATAAACTTTAAATATATTAAAATGATAAGGCATCTTTGAGTAAACTGCGAGTATCATTTAAGTAGGCTATGTCGTGGCCGGCCGAGTGTCCTCTTTTTTGGAAATCAAAATATGGTCACCCTAATATACACACACCTCCCAGGTGTTTTAATAGATTTAGTTTCCAGATAAACAAACGTTAGGCTGGCAGCAGTAATGAGAAGAGTGAGACTCACCAGTCAGAGCAGAGCAGCAGCTGCAGCGACAGAGACTGGGGGTGTGGTGTGTTCAAGTGTAATAGGCACTTTATTGATCTCGGAGAGAAATAACTTTTTTTAACTTTGCTAAATTGCCACAGCAAGCAACAACTCATGTACAGTATAACACTGTCAGATCCTCTCAGTTACCTCTCATACGAGGTAACTGTGCAAAAGTGTGCATGTTAAGTGACTCAGTGATCCGCAGTACGTTCAGTGAACGGATCACTCACTGAAAGTACTGGTACTGTAGCACGCCATGTTCGTTCAGTCACAGTGCGACTGAACGTACTGCACAGTGAGTGCAGTGCACGTGAGGCCTCAGCCCAATTTGCCAAGTAGACCAGTTAAAAACCCTCATTCTAAACAGTGTTCATTTACGATAGCCTACTATATATAGGACAGGACACTTAAAACATCATGGTTTATAAACAAGTTTATTTTTGCAAACGTGTTTCTCAAAGCAACACAGCGCTCCCAGCCGTCTCTACTCCCGGAACTGAAACATGAAGCGTTCAGCCGTGTATCAGTTCAGTGAGTCGGAGTCGCAGGCTCCTCCCGCCAAGCATTGAACGAATCTTTTGAACAAATCTTTTTAGTGAACTGATTCTAGTGATTCAGTAACATCTAAAGAAGTGCCGTGCCAAACACTGACCTGCTGTCTCTCTTCTTCTGTGGTCCTGATCAGACTTCCTGTTCCTGTGAGTTCACAGTGAAGCTGATCCCCTGTAGGACAAAGTGAAGGTGCTGTGCTGCCACCTGCTGTCTGTCTCACTGCTCTCACATCACTGACAGTCTCAGCATGATCTGTCTGTGATTGGTTCAGTCTGTGATGTCACAAGTTCCACCCACTCAAACTGCTCAACAACTGGATGACCAAGTTACCTGTCCTTTTGTAAATGGCTCCTGTCCTGGCTGCGCTCGTGCTGATGTTGTCCCTGCTGGCTCCTGCAGCTTCAGGTAAATATGAAATATATTTATATTCATGCAGCTAATGACTGTTAATGGATCTAAAACTGATGACTCTAATCTTGAAACTGTGCTGGTGAGCAGAGTCATACAACCACAGAGGGGTAATACTAGTTGGGTTTTTTCCACGGGAGAATACAGTCTGTTAGTGGTGCAGAAAATAGGAGGAATATTTGGTTTTATTCACAAGGTTGTTCCTGCTCTCACTGAACTACTGTAACCGAGGGTTTATAGATGTCGCCTATACTGTGTAAAACTATAAAATAACAATACGGAGGCTGCAGTTTCACACGAGGACCACTTTATTCCATCTTCTTTTCCAACCGTAAACTCCACTGCTACCACACTGTGTAACAACAATTCCACTCTCTGTTAAGCCTTCAAAATAAGAGCTCAAGGCATGTACTGTGGTGACAGCTTACAACAGGAACTTAAAATCACTCTAAGAGACAAGTCCATAAAAATAGGTTACACTACTGACGTACTATATAGTGTGGCAGTGTGGGGATTAGAGTGTGACTCCTAAAGTTTGTCTCAGTGACTGTAGGAACCTCCTGGTGTTTTACTGGCAGGAGACCCTCGTTAATGTCACACTGAGACACTAGCCGTTTCTCAATACACAGGTTGAGCAGTTCGGACTTGCGGACTTGGCAAGTTCGGACTTGGCAAGTCCACGCGAGAGTCCGGACTTGCCAAGAATGTGAGAACGGGAGTACAGTCATTTCTGCTTTGGAACAGCAGCGAACTTGATGATGTCACCACCTCCGCTCGCCTTGGCTGTTGTACTGTGTTGTATACATGCATTTAGAATAAAACAATATAAACACAGCCCCGCGTCTTTTCATAGACACTGTAAGAAATTAATGTGTATATGTTTTTAACTTTTCAACATATATAACTGACACACAAAAACATATAAATAGCCAAAATATTTTCATAAAATGTCTTTTAAAACCTTTTCCCCGCAGCTGGCTTCTGATTATAATCAAAAGTCAAGTGCGGGGGGAAGTTTGTGGAGAGTTGGTGGTTATTGTGATCGTAAGCATTGGCAAGATGGAAATCAAAAATCAATAACGGATCGGAGAAGGCGTCTTGGTGCAGTTATTGCAGCAGGACTGCTGTACCTGCAGGCTGAGGAGGAGGCTGCCCAGCTGAGGAGGCAGAGCCCAGAAAGACAGCGGAGGATGAGGATGAGAATGAGGATGAGACGCGATGAGACGAATGAAATGAATGAATGAAAAGTTAAAAAAAAGTTAAAAATTACTCATTATGCAGAGTGACCCAATTTCAAGTGTTGCTATCATCACATACATTCTTAGTTACTGTCCATCACTGCATTTGTCTCATCATTATGCTTTCTGTCTACATGTTTATGGAGACTTGACAGTTTACTTGGTTCACCTAGAAAAAACAACAGCAGTTTAATATTCAGTCTGACATTTTATTGAAGTGTTGAGTTGTAGATTGTGGTGCTGTTGAACTGTACTGTACACAAGTCCGCTCCGATGCATTCCCGGTGAAATGGGTGTGGCGAGAACACATCCAGGCATTTGGACTGAACTTGGCTAGATGTGAACTTTGAATTGGAACAGCACTTGGGCTGTGACTGATGACGTGTCACAAGTCCACAAGAACACAAGGCAGGTCAGTGTGAGGCAGGTCAGTATGTGTGAGGCAGGTCAGTGTGTGTGAGGCAGGTCAGTATGTGTGAGGCAGGTCAGTGTGTGTGAGGCAGGTCAGTGTGAGGCAGGTCAGTGTGAGGCAGGTCAGTGTGTGTGAGGCAGGTCAGTATGTGTGAGGCAGGTCAGTGTGTGTGAGGCAGGTCAGTGTGTGTGAGGCAGGTCAGTGTGTGTGAGGCAGGTCAGTGTGTGTGAGGCAGGTCAGTGTGTGTGAGGCAGGTCAGTGTGTGTGAGGCAGGTCAGTGTGTGTGAGGCAGGTCAGTGTGTGTGAGGCAGGTCAGTGTGTGTGAGGCAGGTCAGTGTGTGTGAGGCAGGTCAGTGTGTGTGAGGCAGGTCAGTGTGTGTGAGGCAGGTCAGTGTGTGTGAGGCAGGTCAGTGTGTGTGAGGCAGGTCAGTGTGTGTGAGGCAGGTCAGTGTGTGTGAGGCAGGTCAGTGTGTGTGAGGCAGGTCAGTGTGTGTGAGGCAGGTCAGTGTGTGTGAGGCAGGTCAGTGTGTGTGAGGCAGGTCAGTGTGTGTGAGGCAGGTCAGTGTGTGTGAGGCAGGTCAGTGTGTGTGAGGCAGGTCAGTGTGTGTGAGGCAGGTCAGTGTGTGTGAGGCAGGTCAGTGTGTGTGAGGCAGGTCAGTGTGTGTGAGGCAGGTCAGTGTGTGTGAGGCAGGTCAGTGTGTGTGAGGCAGGTCAGTGTGTGTGAGGCAGGTCAGTGTGTGTGAGGCAGGTCAGTGTGTGTGAGGCAGGTCAGTGTGTGTGAGGCAGGTCAGTGTGTGTGAGGCAGGTCAGTGTGTGTGAGGCAGGTCAGTGTGTGTGAGGCAGGTCAGTGTGTGTGAGGCAGGTCAGTGTGTGTGAGGCAGGTCAGTGTGTGTGAGGCAGGTCAGTGTGTGTGAGGCAGGTCAGTGTGTGTGAGGCAGGTCAGTGTGTGTGAGGCAGGTCAGTGTGTGTGAGGCAGGTCAGTGTGTGTGAGGCAGGTCAGTGTGTGTGAGGCAGGTCAGTGTGTGTGAGGCAGGTCAGTGTGTGTGAGGCAGGTCAGTGTGTGTGAGGCAGGTCAGTGTGTGTGAGGCAGGTCAGTGTGTGTGAGGCAGGTCAGTGTGTGTGAGGCAGGTCAGTGTGTGTGAGGCAGGTCAGTGTGTGTGAGGCAGGTCAGTGTGTGTGAGGCAGGTCAGTGTGTGTGAGGCAGGTCAGTGTGTGTGAGGCAGGTCAGTGTGTGTGAGGCAGGTCAGTGTGTGTGAGGCAGGTCAGTGTGTGTGAGGCAGGTCAGTGTGTGTGAGGCAGGTCAGTGTGTGTGAGGCAGGTCAGTGTGTGTGAGGCAGGTCAGTGTGTGTGAGGCAGGTCAGTGTGTGTGAGGCAGGTCAGTGTGTGTGAGGCAGGTCAGTGTGTGTGAGGCAGGTCAGTGTGTGTGAGGCAGGTCAGTGTGTGTGAGGCAGGTCAGTGTGTGTGAGGCAGGTCAGTGTGTGTGAGGCAGGTCAGTGTGTGTGAGGCAGGTCAGTGTGAGGCAGGTCAGTGTGTGTGAGGCAAGTCTGTGTGAGGCAGGTCAGTGTGTGTGAGGCAGGTCAGTGTGTGTGAGGCAGGTCAGTGTGAGGCAGGTCAGTGAGTGTGAGGCAGGTCAGTGTGAGGCAGGTCAGTGTGTGTGAGGCAGGTCAGTGTGTGTGAGGCAGGTCAGTGTGAGGCAGGTCAGTGTGTGTGAGGCAGGTCAGTGTGAGGCAGGTCAGTGTGTGTGAGGCAGGTCAGTGTGAGGCAGGTCAGTGTGTGTGAGGCAGGTCAGTGTGTGTGAGGCAGGTCAGTGTGAGGCAGGTCAGTGTGTGTGAGGCAGGTCAGTGTGAGGCAGGTCAGTGTGTGTGAGGCAGGTCAGTGTGAGGCAGGTCAGTGTGTGTGAGGCAGGTCAGTGTGTGTGAGGCAGGTCAGTGTGAGGCAGGTCAGTGTGTGTGAGGCAGGTCAGTGTGAGGCAGGTCAGTGTGCGTGAGGCAGGTCAGTGTGAGGCAGGTCAGTCAGTGTGAGGCAGGTCAGTGTGTGTGAGGCAGGTCAGTGTGAGGCAGGTCAGTGTGTGTGAGGCAGGTCAGTGTGAGGCAGGTCAGTGTGTGTGAGGCAGGTCAGTGTGTGTGAGGCAGGTCAGTGTGAGGCAGGTCAGTGTGTGTGAGGCAGGTCAGTGTGAGGCAGGTCAGTGTGCGTGAGGCAGGTCAGTGTGAGGCAGGTCAGTGTGTGTGAGGCAGGTCAGTGTGTGTGAGGCAGGTCAGTGTGAGGCAGGTCAGTGTGTGTGAGGCAGGTCAGTGTGAGGCAGGTCAGTGTGTGTGAGGCAGGTCAGTGTGTGTGAGGCAGGTCAGTGTGTGTGATGAAAGGAGTGTGTGGACAACGTTGTGCGTAAAGACAACATGTGTTGGTCTGAGTGGTCATAAGTGTGTGATCCTGTTCTGCAGTACTGACGTGTATAATAACAGGTAGTACAGTGAGAAGATACAGAAATAGGACATGGCGTCAGTCGTGGACCGGAGGAGAGGTCATTTTGAAGGACTTGACCTGCAGCTTTGTTTTCTGTTTTGTATTCTCAGTTCAGCTGTTAAACGTTTTCCTGCCTCATGTGAGCACTGTGGATCTTCACTGCAGGAACATGAGTCAGAACTGAAACAGCGTGCAGACTCATATTACACGTCTGGTGTGTGACGAGGCCTTCTGTTTACACTGTGGAGTCTTTTTCACTCTGGATCTTTATTGTTGTTTGTTTTTGTTTTTCAGACCAACATGTGACAGTGCACCCTGGAGATGACGTCACTCTGAGATGTGAGGCTGGTGATGTCTCCATCAGAGCTGTAGAGTGGACCAGACCTGACCTGGAGCCACAGTACGTCCTCTTTTACAGCGATGGACACTACGACACAGATCAACAGCATCCATCCTTTACAGGCAGGGTGGAGCTGGAGGACAGAGAGCTGAAGGACGGAGACGTGTCTTTAACTCTGAAGAATGTGACCAGCAGAGACAATGGAACATACGAGTGTCGAGTTGCAGCAGGTGGATCAAGACGTACAAAGAGAGCCCTCATTAAGACTGATCCAATCAGAGTCATCTACCTGGAGGTTACAGGTGAGTGTGTGGAGCTCAGTGTGTGTGTCTGTGTATCAGGTTGGAGCTGCAGTTTATTCCTGAGAGTCAAACATCAGAAATACACAAGACAAATGAAGGCTGTTCAACTAATCACACATTTACTGACTCATAGTTATTTCTATCTGCAGATTCAGAGGATGGAAACTTCCCTCATCTACACGTTGGACTGGCAGCAGGAGTTGTTGCAGTGCTTCTTTTAGTTGCTGCAGTGTTTGTTGTCGTCTGGATATATAAGAGACGTACAGAAATATGGTCTGCTGCTCATAAAGTGGTGGACCATGTGACATGTCATTAACTTATGTACATTATTTTATTATTCATTTTTGCTTCATCCTGTTTGTTTGTTTGTTGTCAAGTCAACTTTGTTTGTGTAGCACTCAACACATAAACAGAGTTGATCCAAAGTGCTCCTGCAGCACACACAGAGAAAAACAACAGAAGCAAAGAAGAAGAGAGAAACACAAACCTGTGTGATAATATCAGTAATGATGACATCATATCACTTCTGCTATAGTACCGTGTTCTTATCCTGTCACCACAGTGTGCCAGTCACACCAACACACACAGTCACACTGATAGAGTAAAAGTGTGTTTTAACACAACTCTTGAAAATTTCAGTGATGGAGGAGAATCAGACGGTGGGAGGAAGAGAAATCCAGATTTGGGGCCCCGACAGAGAAAGTCCTGTCCCTGTAATCCTTAGTGCTGATCTCAGGACAGACAAACAGGTCAACTGTTAAATGTTAGAGACCATTTCCTGGAGTAAATAATTCTCCCTCCATGAATCACTACCTTATCGTGGTGGAGGGTTTGTGTACCTGTTGATCCTGGGAGCTGTGTTGTCTGGAGCACTGAGCTCCTGGTAGGGTCTCCCAGAGCAAACTGGTCCCAGTGGAGGGTCAGACTGAACGTCATTCAAATGTTCATCCTTAACCAGGGATGGAAAGACTAGAATATTTTACTCCAGTAAAAGTTCTGCAAATTAAAAACAAAACATCAAGAGTTGAAAACAATCATGTCTCCCACTTAAATTATTTGATTTGTACAAACTTAATTTAACTTAAATTTTCATTTTGGCTGAATCCTGTTGTTTTATTTCTACTGTAAATATATAAAGACATTTACTGAACTTTGTTGCTAATAATACTTCAGTTTTTGTTTATAAACAATATATACATATATATTTTTTTAAGATAAATTGTATTGGGTGCACATTTTGTTTCTTTCCTCTAAACTCTCTCAGAGGCTGGTTGTCAGCTGATCTCAGCTCTGCTCTGCGTCTTTTATCACATCTCCACACACGTGTCTTCTTCTCTCAGTGTTGCAGCAACACGTGTACACAGTTCAGAGCATTAAACATTATCAGAGTTTCATCAGAATTCATATGATGACTGCATACTGTCTGAGGACGTGGAATTATATGTCACTGAGACAAAGAATGTAATTTTAATTCAACATTAAAAGATATTGTATATTTTAAATGTGACAGCTCCACAGCTGCTCTGAGTGTATACACAAAGAGGAGGAGCACATGCTTTGTGACACTTTGAATAATAAAACAAGTCTTTGGATTCAGGTGGAGTGAGTCTCATTTTTGCAGGAGTGAATGTAGTAGCTCAGTCCATAGGGACTTAGGTTGGGAACCGGAGGGTCGCCTGTTCGAGTCCCCGTCTGGACCAAAATATGGAGCGTGGACTGGTGGCTGGAGAGGTGCCAGTTCACCTCCTGGGCACTGCCAAGGTGTCCTTGAGCAAGGCACCGAACCCCCCAACCGCTCGGGGCGCCTCACCAAGGGCAGCTCCCTCACTCTGACATCTCTCCACTTTGTGCATGTATAGGTCCTGTTTGTGCATGTGTGTGTCTTTCAGACCTGTGTGTAATTGACAAGCAAGAGTGAAAACATTGAATTTCCCCTCAGGGGGATTAATAAAGTAAATAAACTTAAACTTAAAGTAAAAACTGATGCAGCTAATGAGCTGACAGAGTTTCTAAATATCTTCATTTGAAGTGTTTAGCAGATGATCAATTTTATTTATAAAGCCCAATATCACAAATCACAATTTGCCTCACAGGGCTTTACAGCATACGACATCCCTCTGTCCTTATGACCCTCACAGCTGATCAGGAAAAACTCCCCAAAAAACCCTTTAACGGGGAAAAAACGGTAGAAACCTCAGGAAGAGCAACTGAGGAGAGAGATTGGTTGAAGACATTAGGTTCGTTCGAGATGAGCCAGGCCTGTGCAGATCATAGGTGCAGATTCGATCACCGGCGATCGTCGCACAATGCATGCCGGTTAGTTTTGTGNATTAGGTTCGTTCGAGATGAGCCAGGCCTGTGCAGATCATAGGTGCAGATTCGATCACCGGCGATCGTCGCACAATGCATGCCGGTTAGTTTTGTGTCCGACTTCATCCCGACTTGCTCTGACGTATTACAAAAGTGGACAGAGATAAAACCGCGAGAACGAGGCGGCCGCAGTTTTTAGAGCCAGGCGCTGCAGTTGCTCTCCACCGACTGCACCGCCTGGCTCTCAGCTGATCTAACAGCTGATTGGTTCAGATGTTGACTCAACAATATGACGTTTTAGATAAACTACTCATTTTTGTTGAATTTTAGAGATTAAGATTGTATTTGTCTGATCTGAAGGTTTATTCTGTGAACAGAAAACATGTTGTGTGACTGACGGTGAAGGTTAGTTGTCAGAGACTAAATAGACCTACATTCATCATAAACTACACAGAGTCTACTGTATATTAACACTGGACTGTTTGATTATTGGAGTATTTAGCAACACAGACACTTGTGGCCAGTGAGGATTCTTAAAATAACAGATGTGAAGCTCTGACTGTATCTGACTGATCTTTAATGAAAGCTGTTGTCTTGTATCAAATATGAAGCTTATTGTTAAACACAGTGTATTCAGTCTCTGTAGCCATGGCGACAGGTCAAACTGATGTGATGCTGATTTACAGGAGAGTTCATGTCAAATGGAGGATAAACCATCAACATAAACTACAGATCACCTGTAAAGCATTTTAATAAATTAATCTATCATAATTAAAACAACTGGAGACTGAGAACAAACTGATATATGAGTCTGATCACTTTTTTAATGAACTGACATCATTCCAGACAGGATGTTAGTGTGTATGTGACTTCCTGTACGGACTGAAGGCTGCTGGAAACTGTCCGACTTCACCGCAGCTTTTTGTCACCGTCCCCCGCTGCGGCCGCCTGCTCTCGTCTACTTTTCAGGCAAAGCGCAGTTCATCTCCAATGAGCCTATTGTCTTGGGAGCATTTCCCTGGTTTCCTGAAGGTCGCCAGTTTCTGGTTGCCTTTTGGGTTCCAGTGGAACCAATGCATAAGTACCCACCACCAGTATCTGTCCAAAGACTAGGGTTGAGCTTAATTAGCTAGTAAGTGTGACCAGTTAGATAGAGCTGGGGAGCCTGGGCTCTGTGGTTATTTGATTTCACCATTGCACATGTTCCTGTGAACTTGTTTTGTGGGTTTGTAATCTTAAATTGTGGCCAGTGTTGCTGAATAAATGTCCTCTGTCTGGTCTTGATGGTAAGTTGCACTATCAACTGTTTGAGCCTGGCGTGCTTCAAGACGGCTAGGCATGTGGTAGAATTTGATTTGGTTGGTAAGAAACAGTGGCAGTGAGTGAATGTTCGTATCGTTGGTAGCTTGGCCTGCTAATTTTGGTGATAAGTGCTACAGATCGTGCTTTGTTTGGTTTTGCATGTGAGCTTTGTTGTAGCTTGGTTCTCTTTGTGTGCGTCTTGGGACGACTTGGTTGGCTAGTGAGCCTTTTGTTTAGAGGAACCTTTGGGTATGCTACTTTGGTTTAGCGCTTATGGAATACCAGTTCAGTGTGCTTTGAGTAGCTGTAATTGTGAAAATGGGCAGAGCATCCTGACCTGTGCTTTGTCTGGTTGCAGGCCACCTTGTAAGAATGTGATGAGCTTCGGTGCTCATTCTGAGAGCAACGTTTTGATGTGTACTTTGGGCTGGGGGTTTAACACTCTCCTGCTGACTCTACCTCACTGCTTTGTACCCACGTTACTGAATTCTTGCAAGATACAAATCTGCATTCTGAGGTGGGTATTGTTCCAGATCGAGTCCTATGAGTTTTCTATAAGTCTTTGTAACTAGCCATTAGTTCTGTTGTGACCCTTATTTTCCCATGCACTAGCTTCTGATACCAGTAGATTTCTCATTCTTCCCAGATAGCACATCTGGCCGACGTCGGCCCGATGTATCAAGTTTAGATCGTTAAGACGTAGCAGGGAGAGCGTTTGCTCATTGCCAAGACGTCGCTGAGACGTTGGCCTTTAATTGAAAATGACCACCACGTAACGTTCAAACCATCAATAAAATAAGCTGCGCTCAGTAGGCGTTCCTTCATTAATATTCATATGCTTCATTAACTACGACCTTTATTCATTTAGGTCGGACCTTTCAAACTACAAATATTTCACCATTCAATGTGAGAAATCAATGCTAACATTCAAAACTAGCTGACTGTTACCCTATTTCGTGTGTAAGTGTGCACAATGAAGAGACAAAAGTCAGTTTGACAAACTTTATTTTCAAATTTCCAGAAACAATATCTGACGGCCAGTCCGCTTCTCCTGGCAGCCTGCAAGACACAGAAAAGACGATGAGCACATAACTTCAAGAAACAAATCCCCACTTCACCACTGTATTTTTTTTAGCATTTCAGCTGTCTTTTAGCCAGACTGAAGGCTTTGGGTCCGTCACTGTGCTTCATTTACGGTGGAAACAGTTAAATAACGGGATCTGTTAACTGTGCAGAGGAGGAGACCTCGACTGATAAATTGCCCATAAAATCACATTAACAACATACCGAAGGCATCCTTAAACTTCACTATTTGACCTCCGCGCTCCTCTCCGCTCCTGTCACCCACACTTGAGCACCTGTCCAGGGCCCCGGAGGTCAGGCCGGGGGGCCGCGGGAACACGGGTGGAAGCTCCGGGCACTTCCACTTTAATCCAAAACGAGTGCTCACGATAGCCAGATGAACACATAACATCAACTAGGGAAAATAAAATGAAAACACCACAGTTGTAGCCTGTTAGCTAACATGAGCTAAACCGCTAAACTAGCTAACAGCTAATGAAAGATAACGTTAGCTGGTGGGGACCTGTGCTAAATACACCCAGTCGTGCCTCGCCACTCACCAGGAACTTCTTTTAATGGTCATAGAAAAAACAACAAAGCTATTTTCTGCCAGTTTATTCCAGTTAGCTTACCTGAAACCAACTGCGATGAGATGCTGTGTGCTGCGAACTCAGTTCCAAACAAAGACCGCAGAGATGAAATCCCGCCTCTGCGGCGACTTCCGTATGTGGGCAGACATTCTACGGCACTGGGCCGACCCAAAGCCGACGTAACAGAGACGTTTGATGAGCTGGGACAAAAGAGTATTAAATTTAAAGATATCCGCCCATGCGGCCGACGCTTGTCAGACGTTATAAATTCAGGGCTGATGTGTCGTCCTCAGGCCGACGTCGGCCAGATGTATGTGTGCTATCTGGGTTAAATTGCTCCCCTGGATGAGGTTGCTGGGTGAGGGATTGGATCTGGTGAGATTGGTGGTGGGTGGAGATTTAGATCACTGTTAATATGGAAGTAAGTTTGTGATGGCGAGTCC